TGTTAAACTGAAAATTAAACAAGCATTTGTTTGTAGCATTTTTTAAAAACACTTTCTTTTAAAAAGTTCGTATTCTGCTCTTTTGGATACACTCAAAACAGTCGTACACTTTTGTGGTGGAACAACACTAGTACTCGTGGCCATACTTGCTCAGACCAACTACAAGTATTTTATGCAACAGAATTGATCATTATGCAACAGAATTGATCATTATGCAATGGAATTGATCATCATGCAACAGAATTGATCACAATGCAATGGAATTGATCATTATGCAACGGAATTGATCATTAAGCAACGGCATTGATCATTATGTAACAGAATTGATCATTATGCAACGGAATTGATCATTATGCAACGGAATTGATCATTATGCAACGGGATTGATCGTTATGCAACTGAATCACAGGACGTTGACCTTTTCCCACAATGCAGGGTGGGTTTAGTTCATATAAGGCCCTCCAGTGACAGTTTAGCGGTATTGTGAATCGTTTCCATCAGATGTTTCCTTGGCATGCTTTAGGGCACTTGTCTGATGTTATGAGAATAGTGATTCAGATGAGGAATTGCATACCTGAGCAACCAGGCTCTCAGCACTCCCCTCCACATTTTCAGGCATCTGGCTGGCCGCTGCCTTGGGCCCCTTGGGGATGAGCGGCTGGCGAACCCTGGGCTTGGTCAGTGCCTTGAAGAAGGCAGTGGAAGGGTCACGGGAGGTGCCGATCTCACCCGTGGAGTGCCGCAGTGCCAGTGGCTCCTTGGCTGAGGCGTTGTTATTGTCTGTGGGCAGGAGGCTGTCGCCCCCGCCCCGGCCACTGGCACGGCCCCGGGGCGGGGTCGGGGTGTGGTAGGAGGATCGGACACGGCGGGGGGGGGGGGGGGGGGGGCNGGGGGGGGGTTGCCCCCCCCGCCCCGGCCACTGGCACGGCCCCGGGGCGGGGTCGGGGTGTGGTAGGAGGATCGGACACGGCGGGGGGAGGAGGGCGGAGTCAGCCACAGGCTGGGGCGGCCGTCATCGCGAGGCTTGCCCTCGGGGGTCATTCCGGCAACTGCCATGACCTGTTTGTGGACAAATGTACCTAAGTACAGTAGTCTTATATACACGTTGCCAAAACAGAAAAGACGAGATGAGAACAGAATAGCCGTTAACAATGAGATAAATATCATTCAGGAGTACAAATGAATTGTGAATTACAAAGGGAACATGACTTGTATGAAAACTGAGTTGTATATACAGTCACACACATTCAATTTTTTAAAACACCACTGATGTGACAGGTTGGGCATTGCTAAAAATTTAACCATATCAGTTTAAAAAAAATAAAACTGATAACTCATGTTTGAGAAGAGATAACATCAATATGCAAAATGAAAGATTAATCACAATGAAAGAGTTACAGATTACAAGAATGATTACAGTGTTAACTGTCCAACACAAGATCACATACTACAAAGGGAAATTAAGAGGTATACAATGGAAAATGATCACGGATTAACAGAAGCCCTTCCCTTCCTCATCAAACTCAAAAGATCTTGAGGACTGTGTGGGGCCAATTTCATGAACCTGCTAAGTATGGAAATTTACTCCTCACAGAAAAACAGGCTTAGTAGCAACAGGTTACCGGTCAAAATGCTGTGCAAAGTGTACTACTTGAGAACTAGTTCACTGCTTGCTTCTAATTAGCACAGAAATCAGCTAAGCCATGTTTTCTGCTATTTTTACTAAGCATTTCCATGAAATTCGGCCCACATGATTAACAAAGAACAAAAAAGCATCTGACAAACAGGAGCAGGTTTTCTCAAATATGCCAAGTACTCAAAGTTCTGACAAGCTGTCTGCTTTGTAAGCTACACAGTACATCTCCAGCAATCAACAGTAGTAAAGATAAAGTTTACAGCTAAGCAAAACACACTTCATATTTCACTCATTAAAACCATCAAACAGTTTAACGTTTATCAGAAAGATGTATTAGTTGACAAAGATGTCAGAAATAAAATTGGTCCCATGGACCAGCACGGCACACATAAATGACTTCATCATGTTGAGCAACATTTACATGTTAAGACCAAATCCAGCCAAAAACGAGTTATCAATTTCAAGCTTTGACTTTGTAGGTTAATATGTGAAAGAATCACTCTTGAATCTGGATGAATATTTTCTGTGAAGGATTCTGCCACTTGGAACATACAAGTTCATACACCAAGTCGGCAAAAAAAATGTGATGAGGGTAAAGAGGTCAGGATAAATTGTGGTATATGACAAAGGTGGTGAGCACATCCGAAGCAAGATTCCAGAGATCAGGGGGAGGAGTAAAGACGGCAGAAGGACAGTGAGGAGACGGAGGAAGGGTACCCGGCTGTCATCTCTTTACCTGTGCCTGGGCAAGCTTCAGCGGCACAGCTGTCTTCCTCTCGGACGCTGGGCGGGGCTCGGCCTTACCCACGCAGGACAGGAGTGAGGACCCTGAGGTCCTCGCACTGCTCAGCGGCGGCACCTTGCGGCCCGCCATGGCCGGGTAGCTGTTGCCGCCGTCGCCGCCGCACTCCCCACCTGGAAGACTGGACTCGTCACCGGGGTAACGGGAACTACTCGTCCCCGTTGCTGTTGGGAAGTCGGTCAAGGAGGAGGTCTGTGGGGAGGCAGAGACACTGCGGGAGCCCGAGGAGCAGCTGCGGGAGGGTGAGGGGGTGTGCTCGTGGCTCAGCAGGGGCGAGGTGGCTGGGTGGGAGTTTTCTGAGGATGTGTCATCATCTTCATCATCATAGCACTCCGTGGTCAGCGTTGGAGGAGGCTCTCTGCCATGGGGAGAATTGAAAAAAAAAAATCATCACAATAATCTTCATTTTCTGTTCAAAATCTTCATTACGTGAGACTCAGCGGCAAATTCAGGATTCAGAGTGCCAGAAAATAAAGACCTAACCACCTTTAGCAGGGAAAGAGTCAATTTTCTAGTAGATGAAAACTTCTGGACACTTTTGTGCACATCACAGTGAAACGATAAGGGAGAATTTTGGAAAGAGGGAGGACAAAATTCAGAGGGGCAGACACCATTTCTCAAAATGAAAGTCCAAAGATAATCCTGAAAGCAAAGTCAAAGACAATGCTTCTAGAAGGACAGCTCTCTTGGCTTTCTTGTACTTTTGTGGAGATTTTGAGAACAGATCCACTCAAGTCTGATTTGAAAGAGTCACTTCCAGATGAAACTAAGTGCCTTTGAAACTCAACCACTGTTCACTTTTTTCTGAACAAAAGCAATATTAAAAGGCTTGAGCACACTGCCTGAATTTGCCGTTGACAGTCTCGTTTCAATCATTAGTACATGAGCTTCAAAACAAACAAAATGCTGAAACAAGTTTCGTGTTAGCACAATACAGCTGATTATTAAATATTACTTTTAAATGCTGCTACTGTTTGAGAGGAAGGAAATCAAAAGGAAATATTAATCTTTATTAGAGAAAAGAACACTAAAACATTAATCTTCGTGTCAAAACCTGCTCAACATTGCAAGCAGTTTGCCATCAGAAACTGCACCATCATCCAGGGTGTGAATATAAAAACTTTTTCTGCATTAAAGAGACTAAATTCCCCCCAAAATTCAATTTATCACAAAATTTAACAACCAAACCATACAGAATAAGCAGGAGTTCTCAATAAAACTTTGCTACATCAAGCGATGGTTATTATAATCACTAATAAGGTACTGCAACAAAAAAGTCTATAAAAACATTTCATTTATCATGTTTGATTTTGCTTTTTTCCCCTTTCTTTTTTCCTTTTTTTCAGCAAAGCTCACGCATCAAATTTTAACCAAATGTCGGTTAACAATCTACTGCTGTTCAAACTGGATTAATCTTTGCTTCCTGATAGGCTACTGGCTTGCATGCAAACACTGAAGTGTTTGGGGCTGTGGCAACAGGTGAAGGGTTAATAAAGATTTTCTAATACATTAAATGAATAAATTGTTTATCCTTTTTTTTTTAATCATGCAAAAGTGCTTTTATAACCCCTGGTTGACTGTGAGGTAAAAATAATTCAAACTACTTAAATTCAGATGAGGAATCTTCCAGTTTGACGCTTTTAATACATGAATACGTCAATTACTGGACTGGGGCATGCCTGAAACGTTAAATTGACACACAGGAGGGATTTAGTGATATAGCGGGGAGGGAGGGTGTTTGCTAGATTACTACTCTTGATCTACCAATCAGAGTGCAGAACTCTTTCTGTTTCATTCTGGCTATAAGATTGGTTGGTTGTGCAAGCCATCAATCAATCACAACACTGATTTTAAAAAATATGAACCCCCTGCACCACTTCCCAAATCCAACTAATGATTTCATTTGATTCGACAAGTCACCAAATACTTATGGAGAAATGTTTTCACAAAAGGAGAGGAAGTCTAAAAACCAATCAAAATGGCTAGGTGAATGGGTCCACCAAATATTTGAAAAATACAAGGAGATTGAAAAGTCTACTGAAAAGGTTGAAAGGTTGGCTAACAAATAAATGTACTCATATTTGAATCAATTAGATCCCATAATCACAACTCTTTGGATTCAGAACAAATAAACAGATTGTTACCAACAAAAACTATAGAAAAAGGAAGAAGGGGTGGAGGCTGGCAAATAGCCAGGTAGTAAGTTTAAATGAGGAAAGGGGATACAGGGGTCCAAACCACTTGGATTCTTTACATCTTACCTGATGATACTGAAATTTAGAATCAGAAATTGAATATTTCCATTGTTATTCAACAGTGCATAATTTGGAGAAAAATGCATGAACGGGCAGAGAACGGTTTAATTAGATGCATCAAATGGTCTTAGCTCGCCTTCCAAATTAGAACTTTACAATGCTCACAGTACACATGGACGTCCATTTCTTCTTCAATGTGTCAATACTGCTCTGTAGTCATACAAACCTGTGTACATCATGAATTTCATGTTTAAATATGAGCAAAAACAGGTCAATGTTGTTGTTGTGAGATTAATGGCACCTTTGGCACTACTGAGCCCTTTGTGCCAACTTCAAGTACAGTAGCTGAGTCACAAAGAAATCTTCCTCACAGTAAAGACATCAGGCTTGAACTTTGAGAATAGTGACGGATAGGAAGAAAAGAAAGGACAATACAAACCTGTGTACATCATGAATTTCATGTACAAATGTGGGCAAAAACAGGTCAAGGAATGAGTTGAAGAATAAGTTTCCCCTGTCTAACAGCACCCTCTAGTGGTGAAAATGGGACAACCCTGGTGAGGGCCTCGCACCACATCCACTGTGCACATACACTTGGACTCTTCCTCCTCATTATGAGCAGCACTATCCGTTTGTGCACATTCAGTTGCAAAACTGGTTTGCGCACATCATGTGCAAGGGCTTGGATTTGATGAGTGTGACAAACTGCACATACTGCATGTGCATAACATGTGGGCATGTTACAACTAAACTATCTTTCCAATAGTGCCAAGGAGTTCTCTATAATATGATCTTACATGTGATATGATCAAAAGTTTACCCACGGTCTCTCACTTAGCGATGCCTCAAAGGTCACCGGTTTGTCAGTTTATGGCACAACTGACTATATTAGATCCAGCTAACAAGTAGCCCACATACGAGGACCACATCCAGATCACACTCAAGATCAACACAGAAACTCAACAATAGAACCAGACTGTTCAAAACCATTTGAAGAGGACAAGTTTCGGTCACACAAAACTTGCCTACATTTCTACTACAGCATATGTTAATGAGCGACCGTGGCAAAAGAGAATGTTATTACAACGAGTGAAATCAAAGCTGATCAACCTCAATACTGGGTACATTATATAGGAGTCTTAAAACAAAATCAGAAATCTGGAGTTCTGGAAACATCTACCACTTATCAAGAAGAGAAAAAAAAAGAAGTTTGACAATAGGGCAAACAGAATTACCTCTTACAATAAGCAGACACCACAGAGCACTGAGAACATTTATGCTCAGAATCGGAAAACAAAAAAGCAAGATTGCTTTATACTAACGTCGATGATAAAGTAATGCAAGAAGGTAAAGAAATAAAGGGGTTGAACAAATAAACCTTCTTTCGGCAAAAACTTGGACTTGTTTTTGCAACATATCTCAAATAGGTCAAACGTAATTAAGCCCAAAAGAGATTTTAAAAAATGACATGGTACATAACCAACTTACCACGTGCGAATTTTAGAAAAGAAATTCGAAATTCCATACATGTTCCTTAAAATATCAATTATAAAACAAAGCAAAAGAGGAAAAACAAATGACCGAAAGCTACGGTGACAACCAAGTTGAGATTCGCAGTTAGTTCATTAGTTCATTGTTAGAATGATCAAATGTTGGAAAAGTGAGTCGGTTGGTTAATGTACAAGAGGCAGTAAGTGGTCTTACCTTAGTCTGCGCGTTATCCTTAAGATACTCTTAGGTATACTAAACTCGTCAAATTGTCAAAAAAACAACCAAAAAAAGATATAATTCATCAAACAGCATCGGTGGATATAATCACACAGCGGTGAAACTGGAGAGTGTTCTCCTACAACATCCACTGACGTATGAGGTAATGTGTACCTGCCAGCAAGTGGCCCCTGAAAAGAGTCAGAGGCTTTAAGGTATATGAACCGATTTCCTGAATGGGGACTTGTTCCCTTTCTTTTCTTGAAGGGGGCAGTGCCGAGCTTCATTTTACAATTGTACTTTTTTGGGCCCGTGGCCACGCTCAGTGGACGAGTTTCATTCTGCAGTGATGTACTGCTAATATCCTCGGCAGGAAGTGAGGTGAATCCACTACTGCAGAGAGGGGTTTTTCTGGGAACTAGATCCTGTTGAAACTTAGAGCTTGGGGGAGGGGGAGGAAGGAATGGTATGTTCACAATATCTTCGGAGGCTGGTGAGACAGCATCTGAAATAACACAGCTGCGTACATGTAATTGGATTAGTGTTCCATCTGAGAATTTCGGAAACTTTGCTTTCAACTTACTTAAATCTTGCCAGGATCAAGACCTGAATGGCCTTGTTTTAACATGTTTTGTTTTTAAAACAAGATCCCATTTCTTTCCATAGCCTCCAAATATCTGAACTTGTAAACAATATTTAATAAGGGAATAAATATGTGCTTGGCCAGTCTTCAATGCACACTCAGGAGAATGGATGCGACTAATGCTGGAGCCACAGGCGAGGGCATTATCAGAATCTTCAGCACATATTTATTCCCATTCATAAATACCTTTTTTTTGTCAGAGAGTCAAAAGAAGTCAACATATGAGAAATTTCAAATGATTCTATTCTAAAACTTCACTTTCATTTTCCCAAACACCACCGTCCGTTTAGGGCATATTCCTTTTCAAAGTTGTCCAACAGAATTCCCTTCAATGAATTTGGTGCGCACACAGACTCCTGACCAATCAGACCCAATTCAACAGTCTCGTATCCATGTGCCAGCATGTGATTTATGCAGCAGGCATTAACACTTCTCAGTGGGCATTATCAAATGTTAATACACAGTAATGTGATGCATTTTGACCAATAGGAATAGAAAAACTTTCCCAGGTATTTATGCATGGAGTTTAAAGAAGTATAAAGTTGCCTTCTTGGATGTAAACAATTACCCATTCAAATAAGCACTGCTTCAGTTTTTCCACAATGCCTCAGAATTTGTCCACAACGGTGGCAGAGAGAAGTCTTTTGCAGTTCAATCATTTTTCTAGTTGGTCCCAGACTATTAAACGGCTTGTAAACAACATCAAAAGGTATACAACAAAATACCTTTACTGCTCACGGGCCAACTTGGTACTGAAGATTACTTTCAAAAATAGTTTTTCCTGGGCATCACAGATAATTAACTACATGAATAATGTGTATATCTACAAAAAAATGTCACTATGCAGTTAAGATTCTCTATTGCTGAAGTGCATCATGAGGCCCCTTTTGAGTCTGCAAACGGCTGACTAAACAGCTTCTTCCCTGCAGTCATTTTGCTTGCTTTGGAGGAAGGAAGTATTTTTTTCTCCTCTCTCTTCCGCCTTTCTCCCCCTGCCTTTTGTTTCCTCATAAAAGGTGCTTTTTAGTCAAATCCACTTTGTTCTGGGTTGGTGGAGATTCAGGCCATATTATTTGCTCAATAAACACCCATTTGATTAAAAGTCCTCTATTTGGATTTCTTGTATGCATTTGATGTTTTGATTTTAATGCCTCCGGTGCAAAGGGTCAAAGGGATTGATGAAGAGAAATCTAAACAAAACTACGCTGCAGCCAATTCCAGAATTTTGATTGCATGAGGGTTATAATAACATTTGGCAAGTGAAACCTTTCAGGGAGAACTTTCAGGAAACTGCAATTGTAGTGCTGTACACTAACCGAATGGTACATTTTTAATACTAATACAAAATCATGCTTTAAAAAAATCAAACCAAGAGTCAGAGTTTGGCAAGGTCAAAGGACAAGCGTGACTGGTCAAAGTAAATGGAGACACCCAAGATGGCATCTGAAATGGGCTTCCAGAGCTATGGACTATCTCTCCTGACCATGCATTTGAAACTACCGAGAGCTAAACCTTGCTCCAGATATGGTTAAAAGGTTTTTTATTACAGAACTCAGTCAAACCTAGATCATCCTATTATTAATTTATCAACTTGATTTCAAGCATATGAACTGAGTTAAGACAAAAATCTCTTTGTGACAGATATACACACTGTCCTTGTGTAATGTTCATACTGATTTCAAGTCAGTTTATTCAGATTTAATTCATGAGGAAAATTCAAATGTGCAGCTCAATTTACAGTTTTTCAAAACATACAAACACACAAGATGCCCATGGTTTCAAGTTTCCTTTTTTTAAAGTAAGAATTCAACATAGAGAATATACATGTAAAAATTCCAATGTGGTAATGACAATGTCTAGAAAGTATTTCAAGATGATGGACGAATGGACATACATCTCTGAGATTGTGAATTTTCATAGATGAAGATTTCTGCGGTTTATTAAAAATGATGCTGGTTTAATGTGACTTTAACCTCAGCTGTGATCTTGTGACTGTTTCACTGATCAACAACTTCCGTATGCCGGCTGAGTGAATCAGGAGATTAAAGGCTTCAAAGGATGGTTTGGAAGATTATAGCTGAGAGTGGGAATTGAACCCCATCCCAGGAATAGTGAAAACATTATTTCCAAAAGCTAATCTGAAACAAGAACAGAAGGTAGTTTTAAAATGTTTACCAACATCATGTGCACCTCCCAATCCCACAAAACATTTTTTCCTGACATTGACAATCTAGGTAAACAGAAACGGTCATGTTCAGCGACAATTTCTAAGAAGTGGTACAAAAGTTACACAAATTTCAGGCTCCCTTTCCTACTTCAACTACTCACAAATTTATATGTACACTGATCTACAATGCACGGCATTCTTTTCCTCTAGTGAATACTTTCCCTTGCATAGTTTACAAGCAGCCTTTGTCACATGGAAAAAATGTTTACAATTATTTAAAACTTGTCAAATAAATATGAAGTGGCCGTATTTGCAGGGGGACCCAATTTCAGTCAGATTCCCCAACGTGGTGTATTCATTTGAAAATGTTAAATGTTAAGAACCTGACTCTACTCTGTAATTTCATTCCGAACCCCCCCCCCCAAGTCACCTGGTACCATCCCATTAAGGGTTTCAAAATGTATACAACATGGTCAGGAATATGACTGAAACTGGTTCTCCCAAAAAATACGGTCTATTGTCGGATTTATATACGGTGTATATAAACCAGTTTCAAGGATTTCATGTTAAAGAGGAGAATTTGCAAAATGGCACCATTTCTTTCCAGAAATATGGTGTTTTTGTTTTGGCATCAGAATTTAAGTGTTTCCATTCTCTTTTTCCCCTAAAGCGTCAGACTAATCAGTCAAATAACAAATCAAAAGGAGAACTGAAAATCAGTTATTTCAAAACAGAGTTATTTGCCTCCAGATAACCAGTGTGAATTTTTGGATGCTAAAATTGTTTCACAAATTGATGCCAATTCTACCAACCAAGTCTGCATCATTTGTAGTCCAGCAGGCATTCAGAAGTTGTCAAAAATCACAGTGTGGACATATTTTAAGTGGCTGTCAGTTCAGTGTCTCAATCAATGATTAAAATTTTCAGTTGTCAACAGAACAATATCAATTCACTCTTCTCCTTTTTCTCAGCGTGGAGATAAAAATGACCTGGTTTCGAATCCCACCCAAAACAAAAAGTCAAGTAGCTTTCTAAGCCCTTTCAAATCCTTCTAGGTTTATACAATCCATTAATTTTGGATTTTTGCCCTGCCCGACGTGTGTTTTAACACTGTATGCTCAGTGTATGCCCCCGAAGGCTTGTGAAAAAAACCACAAGTGTTTTTGGGTGGGACTCGAACCCACGACCTCCTGCTTACTAGTGCAGACATCTTATACAATCCACACTGCTGAGACACTTCCAAGGAATTAATTGTTTCATTTTCACAAGAAGAAATGAATCCTCCCCCCAAAGAAAGAATTGATATACACCTGTGCAGTACTTTTCATAATCGCAAGGTGAAGCAAACTAACAAGCGATGACACATCGTGTATCATCTTTCATTTCTTGAAGGAAAGGAGAGGAGGTCACCATATTCTTACCGGCTATAATCCCTGTACGGTTCCCTGTAGGGGTCCTGGAAGGGCTCCCTGGAGTCTCCGGCATTATGCTCCATCTCTTGCCGTCCCTGGCCCAGTGTTCCGTAGTTCTGGTCGTCAGCGTGGACACTACCATTCCGGTAGGGGGGGTCTAGGTGGTGGTCCTCTTCAGACAGCAGTGGTTGTGTGGCCTCGTGGCTCTGGCCAGAACTTGGAGGGGGAGGGATGGGTAGAAGGATTCAAGGAGGGGAGTTATTTGAAGTAGGAATGGCAAAACAAATTGAGAACAGACTGGCTTTTGTTTTTTAGATCGTTGAAAATCGTGGGGTCAGTTCATTAGGGCTTGTAACTCCTGGCCACGGTATCAACAATTCAAATCTGACATCCTGGCATATTTGGTGGCCTGGAGCATGTCACTTTACCCCATTTATCCACTCTCCACTCAGGAATGTAAATAGGTAACTATGAGAGCAGAGATGGTCAACGTGGTTGATAAGCCAGTTAGTGCTTGAAATGGTTCCACTGAGTTGTATACTCCCCAGGATGCTGAGATGATTAAAGGAAAGTTCTAAGACCCATTAAGCAAGGAGAGTAAGGCACCATTTCAAAATTATTATTGGGTAGGTGTTGGACAGAATGGTCCGGCCGATACATTTATTATCAGTTGGCTATCAGGTTAGGTGTTCTCAAGGAGCCAATTCTAACTGATAAATGCCTTTTTATTGCATTACTTTCAATGGAGAAACACCCCCTCCATCATTCACTCAACACAAGTCAGTCGGATGGTCCTGTCCTATAGTCAACCGATAGGAATTTTGACATGATGCCTAACAGTGAAGCACCTTGAGCGACAGTACTGGTTGCCTATCATTATTATAATAAATCATGGAGATGTTGGAACAGGAGATGCTACGCAGTGAGAAATTTGAAAACGTCTTTTCATTTATACACCAGCTTTCACTGCTTGGTACCAATCAGTTTGCCAGGCTCATAGTAGTTAGGGGTTCACTGCAGCCATTCCACCCAACATATGTTGGTCACTTATCAGGTATATTTGGCAAACTGTGGCGGCTTTTTGAAAGCAGCCTTCAGTTTTGTTCACAGCTAAGACGTCAGATATCATTTTTGTTTCAAGAATGACAAGTGCCCTGTAAGTCCCAAGCATTCTTAGGATATGTTTGAGCATGTAACTCGTGAAATTGCAAGTATACTCTTGAGTGCATGAATGACATGAGTATGACCCGTGGGTGAGCAAGAGTACATTCTTGATGAGGCTGGGAGTGTATTCTTGCCTCACATGATTATTTCACGATGACAGAGAGGGAAATGTTTTCTGTTCACTCAATGTGATCTTAGAGTAAAGGCACACGCAACATCTTCCTGCACCTGCTAAGCATTATGAGTGACACATGCAAACGGAGCCTTACAGAGCAAAGCACGACATCCGCTCACCTGTGCCGATGGTTCCGGCCGGCCACATTGTTGGGCGAGTAGCGCTGAGTGCCCACCGGCGAGAAGCCCGCCGAGTTGGGCGAGGACACATGCAGCGCGTTGCCCGCCGGGGGGCGGCTGCTACGGAAGGAGCCACCTCCGGACGACATGCTGTACGGCGAGCGGCTGCGGGGCGTGTAGCTGTAGCTGTTCAGGGAGTTGGCCGGCGAGAGCTTGCGGTGCTGGCTGGACGGAGAGACGGTGAGGTTGTTGGTGAGGGGGATGCTGTGGTGGGGGTGGGTGTTGGCCATGGGGGCCGACTGGCGGCGGTTGTGGTACATGTTGAGCATGTTGCCAAAGAGGGAATGACTCCTCTGAAATAAAACACAACAAAATAGCAACGGTCAGGGCACAGCTTGAGTGGTTCATTTGATGACAGCACACTCGATGATGCCGTGTGGATAAACCTAAGGTGGAAGCTGGCCGAAAAGGTCTCGAAGATGACCCGAGCATTCTGGTCAAAACGTCAATTCAAAAACCATCTGTTCTTATCAGATTGGGGGGGGTACTAAATGATCTTACCACAAAGCCCCTACCAGCTATAGAAGGTCTAAATCAATGAAACGATACAAAGATGTTTACAACTCACATATAAGCCTCATATTTTAAGACCACATTACAAAAATTGCAACGGCCACATTTCTAGAGTAAACACCTTACCCATATGTTGCGCATAAAGACCCAACATGTGTGACTCACGCTACAGAAAATGGTGATTTGTGTTACAAATCTGTATTAAACAAGAAACATACCCTATGTGACGGCTCGTCTAGTTCCACAGCTTCACTGACTTCATCATCCATGTCCTCTAGGTTGCCTGAGATGGCCCGCTTGATCTGGGGCCCTATTTCTTGTAGCGTTCGCAGACCAGCCTGTTACAAGCAAGACAGAGGCATGGGCTTTTAAGCTTGGAAAGCAAATTCCAATACAGGCGTTTCACAATAGTGTGCCTCCAAGAGTTTGCAACGCGTTGGCCAATCACAGTGCGCGAAATTTGTCGACCCAATGCGCATTTGGAAAGGGTCGACAAATTTTGTGCGTCGTGATTGGCCAACGCGTTGCAAACTCTTGGAGGTGCACTATTGTGAATTGCCTGTATTATTCATCTTGTTATTGAGCTAAGAGTTCCTGCCAGCAATGGCCAGTGCCTTCCACACGTGCACAATCTGATACCAATTTAATCTCATTCAAAAATACCATTTTTGTGAAATGTCACAATTTTTTCTCAATTGTTTTGTTTGCCCCCCCGAACAAAGATATTGACAAATGAGAAGAGCCACCAACTTAGGGCTGGATAGCTCAGTTGGTAGAGCACTGGTATAGTATTCCGCAGGTTGCAGGTTCAAATCCCACTACAGTCAATTTCTTTGTTCATCTTTATAATTTTTTTCTAATTCAGCATGCAGTAAAATGTTCACTTTTTTACTGACCATGCAGAAGAACAAGTACTCGTTCAAATTCAAATAATGCATGATAGTAATGGCAGGACAACCTGCCTTTCATTGGAAAAAATGTCACACAAATAGGGAGATCACAAATATGTACGATAATTGTGATAACAATATCAGTCAGATCATGAATATGCATTACAAAACAGCAATGATAAATGGAGAAAAATCATGACGATGCATGAGTTTGATATCGAGATAACAATTATGGTAAGATCACAGGTTCAAACGAGTAACTGCACTAACAATATCAATCAGATATGAATATGCAAACATATGGAACAACAGTACTGGTGAAAATCATGAATATGCATGAGCCACTGTGATGGCAGTATTGATAATAACATCATGGATATGCATGAGTTACTGAATATTGTCTGATGGACCAAATCCAATTGATGGGTGAGGCACTCAACATGAGCCATACCTGCAGTGCAACCGTTCCTTGCTCGTGGCCCTGCATCTTGAGCTGGTCGTGCTTACGCTTCTTGAAGCGGCGGAAGTAATCCTGAATCAGAAATGTTGCATAGAATTTGCCCACAGTCACGTCATCATCGGCTGAGAAACAAAATGAAACAAGACATGACCATCGGGTTTAGAAAAAAAAAGGACAGAGCAAAATCATTCCAGTGACCAATGGCACAACATAAATCCACCTCAGGTCTCTTATGTTCAGTGATTTTCCTGAATTTTTGCAAGAATTTGCAAAATTTTGTAGGGGACCCATGAACCTCAGTCGGTAAATCAGTCTGTCGGTTGGTCGATTGGTCAGTCGGTCGGGTCAGTCACTGCTTTGTCATACCTCCTGCTGGGGGAACTACTTGGTCCAACATCTTTGTGCTCGTCCGCTTCCATATCTTGCGGATGACTTGCCTAAGCTCGTCGTTCGCCTTGTCTATGTTACCTGAAATGAGCAGACGGGACGCGGGCCTGTCACCAGGGTCCAAATCCACATAACCGAGGGGCAACTCAGATGAGACACACTGAAATACGTGCAGTCAGCAAAATGTTTACAAGCAGAGATGGTCACGCGTAGCAGTGCTCCATCTCGGCAGATTCTCGTTAACGTTCAAATGCAGTGCACCGGCCCCAAGAAACAATGCTGCCAAGTGACAAACCGGCATCCTCATTTGTGCGAAAAAGTCTTTCAAAAATTCCAAACCCCAATTAAACAAACTGAAATACGTAAGCAGCAGGGAATATCAGACATATTTCCACATGTACTAAAACAATTCCAAATTACTTTCCAAAATACAAGGCTCTAATCACTCTGCTGTTCACCAAACAGCACTAAAATAAAAACCACTAGATTCTGTGAGTGGAAAGTTATTGCGAATTATTCTTTGCCCTGATGGAAGCACCCACCCTCCGTCTTGATCTTTAGGGACGTTCTGATCAGGGCAAATAGCGTGGCGTTGAACATCACCGTGCCATCGCTGTTCAGAGGCATATTCATCGACACTAATCTCTGTATTCAACCCAAAAAAACAAACAGCAAACATTCATAAAAAAAACAAAATGTGAAGAGTTCAAAGGAAACCATTATAGTTACGCTGCATCTTGAAATTATGGAAACACAGAAACGCGAACCAACAAAAATTTGTTCCAATTGATTTTTCGCCGCAGTGAGTTTACTATTTTGTGAGAAGTCAATTTGAACAATCTTCAGTTCGAATGCTTCACTCCACCTTCAGATCCTGAACCAGTTTTCATACCCTCAAGCATGAGGCAGTCACTTCCGAACAAAATTAAACATAACCAGAAAACATCGTTTAAAAATCCTGAGCACAATTGTTTGGTACAGTTATCAGCTACAGGGGTTCTCCATAATAACTCAGAGCCAATACTAGGCCATGTTCCAAATCTTGGGTCTAGGGCTAGGTCTAGGTGCCAATAATGACTTTGTGGGTATATGCTGATGATAGACACAGCCGTAGCCCACGAATTCCATTTCAGCTGTGGCTTCATCTTTCACGATAGGGCTGAACTCTACAGACTTGTCTGGGGCTGCTTCCCAAGGACGCCTGCATTACATCCGGCCGCGACCAAGAAATTCAGTTGCGGCCCTATCCGTTCGGGAAACGTCTGCAAGTGCCAAATCTATCATTTTCAGCGACTGCTTCTTCTCACCTTGCATGCTATTCTGTAGGGGCAGAGCTTGCCAAAGCCTAGAGGCGGCGAAATTTGTCGCAGCAAGGCAACCACATCCAAATGTTTGATCTTACCACTGGTGGAGAATAAAATACAGGCCAACCAAAGAGAGACATCACCAAACATGTAAAAGGAATAAAGGTCAATGAAGTTACTGCTTTCTAACTTTCAGAAATCTTCGAAACTCAGCATAACTTTGCCTTCCCTTGATGAGCAACATGTTAATTACAACTCTAAGCTCAGTGAAGTAGATGATGTTTTACGCACAGAGCTTTCTTGATCAAGAACACTGAAGAAACTAACAGCACTGGCTGACAGCTACATTTTGCACAGTTTCAAGGAATTCAACCATTTGTTTAGACTGAATAACAAACTGATTTGAATATCCATGGATCATGAACTACTGGTCAGGACACCGATTTGGAAAATTGATATTCTGACACCAATGGTATCCAGTGAAATATGGGCAAATAACGTGACACATTTCCATGGAAACATCTGTTTATCAACCAGGAAAAACTTACGTAGCCTCTGGGTCGTACTCCGCCCAATTGCGGACAAACTCGTCCAGGTGATGAGGGCCCAATATGGACCAATCACGGGTGAGATAGTCAAAGTTATCCATGATGACTGCCACAAACAAATTAATAACCTGCAAAATGGACACGAAAGAAATACTGCTCACGTAAGCTGCACAACACATTCTAGGAGGAGGTCTTATGAGTTCGGGAAAGGTCAAAGTACTTTTGTATCAGCATTCCTCATGTTTCAAAGGCAAATCTCACCAAGAAAGAGCAGAAGCTGTAGAACGTCAAGAAGTAAATATACGCAAAGTCATTGCCACAGGTTTCTCCAACTTCGGGCTGGTGCTCGAGAACGAATGGGTCGCACTTGGCTTCCGGCGAGCTGGCACACGCTAGCATGATTTGCTGCCAGGCTTCGCCAGTTGCTGACCTGCAAAAAGATAGATGGCATCATAAACAGTGGTTGGTATACAGTTGTGTGAAGGGTGTCGTGCCTGGCTCGTGTGATGTGGTTTATGGGAAGCGAGCAACACACTCGGCACGTATGACGCATGCAGCGTGAGGGGCACGTGGGACACGCCTGCATCGGCAGCACGTGGGGCATGCATCACAGGAGTGATGCTGCCAACACGTGAGCAACAACTGGGGCTGTGGGGCCTCAGGGAGAGTGGCAAGCCTGAAACACAACAGCGACATGATAAAAAATGACTACAAAAGTGGCATAACAATGGAGGGGGGAGATGGAGGGGCCCATGCTCCCTCAGCAGACGTCCATGTCCCTCTTCCGGTGCCCCTTCCCCCTCCATTTGAAATGCTGACATGATCACAGCCTCTGTGAAAGTCCACGGTTCATTTGCCTTCAGTGTTCCCTCAAGAAAACTGCTGGCACCCCTCAAAACCCCCCAGAAACTTCACCTAAGTTATCCTACAACCTTACTGAAATCAATCACACTGATGGGCAGCCCTGAAGAAAAATCTAGACCTCCCCCTCTCCCGTATTTTTTTTTTTTAAAACAAATGACCGACCTCACCGTTCGCAAACATCTGAATGAATCCGAATGACCTAACCAAGGATAACCCATGCCTGTTATTAGAAGAGTTAAGAGGGGGGTGATCAAAATGGCGTGACTTCCAGCCAGGACATTGTGTACAGAGGTCTGTCATTACCTGAACAGGACCAGAAGTGCTGCTACAAAGGATTGGAAGTTGTTGTTTCTGTTGATGGGTCCGTCTGTGGTCAGCGCGATTTTGCCAAAGAGCTGCAGAAACAGACAACAGGGGCATTCTATATATTCCTGGTGCAATTTTTGTTTTATTGAGTTTGTTTCTGCATTCAATTGGGGACCCTGAACAAAAGAGGACAATAAGGTCCCCGATTGACAGAGGGTCCCTGATTGACAACTGTGTACAAAACATATGGGTGGTCTTGTAAAAAAGTTTAAGTACAAACAAAAGAGGAACAATAGGGGGTCCCCAGTTGCTGGCAAATACACACTTGGGTGTGTGTGCGAGTCCTAGTCTCATCACACATGAATGTGCAAGCTTCAAAAACATTCTTCAGTTTCAAAGGGTGATTAAATAATCAAGTTACCTGCCCAACAAACACAATTTGAAATAAATGTTACTGATTTGTCTCTGTCAAGTTTTACAGGTCAGAAATGTCACACTTTGGGACCCTGAATGTATAAAATGACCCGATAGTTTTACTTTACTGGCATTTATGCGAGATAATGTAAAGAGGGACAGATTTGTTAATCTTGAGGCCGAGGCTCCAGGAAGCAGGGTTTGCCACAGAATGCTGCGTTTGTGTCCTTGGGCAGGAGGTTTTACCATGATACCAAGGTGTTCTGAGGGCAGAGACTGCCATTGTGGGGGAAGGGCAGTTAGCTGCCCAACGTGGCTTTAAATAAGAATAAACGTGCCAATCCAGGAGGACAACGTACAAGGAATTCATGAATGTTTGATCAAGACTTCAGTACCTGCATGCCTATTACAGCATAGACGAAGAATAGCATTACTATCAACAGGGCCACATATGGAAGTGCCTGGAATGAAAAGAAACAGGGAACATCTCAGAAAATGGTAAAAAATAAAATCAGCTGAACTACACAAGGGAAACAAAGCTACTAAATCTTAATCTTAAAACTTTTGTTATAGGATGTACTGACAGCTCGATGCAAGTTTTAAATCTCCTTACATTGACTAAACCAAGTAGTTAGTGTCTGAATCTCAAGAGATTTGCTGATCCTTTGCCCTACCAAGTTTCAATCCCTGGTGTTCAAAAACTCCTCCTCTCTCTCTTGCCATACCTCAAACCCCGATTCATGTGAAATTTGATTTTAAGCATGGGTCATGCCCTTACACCAACGTATGTTAATTCACACAGTATACTCGGTGCTTGTCTGACAGCTTATGAAAATTGGGATCTTGTCAAACAACCAGAGCCGTTTGACACCCATCCTCACCAAATTTTAACCACTGATTAATGTACGACTCTGAGGGACATTCTAGAGTGAGGTTCGAATCCCCCCCCTTGACCTACCTGGAAGGACTTGATAAATGTCCAAAGTAAGGTTCGAATGCCCTCTCCCTTACTCAGCAACTTGACCAGTCTCATCACTCGGAACAACCGAAAAAAGTTTATGCTGAAACGACTTTCGGAATCCTGCATAATGTGAGACAAAATATAGCTTTCTTACTTTGCCACAATTGTTAGATTGCGAGATGAAAAAACAAAAAACAAAAACAGTAAAACTGTCGTGGGAACTGAAGCAACACTGTACTGCTTCAGCTTTCAGACCTGCTGTCTGGAAAATAGCAACCTGGCTGGTAATGCTGCGACACCTTGCGACTCGTGCAGAGATAAAAGCAGGTGAAATGACACACTATAAGAACATGAACACGAAAAGCATGCAAGACCTCAACAGAAGGAATCAAATACATGGCGAAGGATCCCGAGACGCTAGTAAAGGAAGCAGCTTCAGTAACTCCACCCACCAAGACCGCATCATACCACAGAGCCAAACACAGAATCTTGCTGCATTGAGCTACGGTGTGGAGGAACAATTAGGAATGGACTGCATGACAAGCTGGAGTTTCTTTTCGGGGGGGGGGATTCCTTTTAAACTTCAGCACGCTCAGCCAAAGAGAACACAGCAAAGGACAAAAGGAAAATGTGTTACCAATACGCACACAGACAGTTACACCACAGAGCACGGAAACACACAAAAAATTTGCTGTATTTAAGCAGAGTTTTGGTAACGCTTAACTGCATAACAAGCTGGGGGGGGGTTTCAACTTCAAACAGTTCAGCACACTTAGCCCAAGAAAAAGCATCAGGCAAAATGTCTGGAAATGTCTTTCTTTATACTTTTCACAATCCAAACCTCTTGAATTTTACATGAATATCTCTTTGAATGTATATGTAACAAAAGCCACAAGACTCAAGCAAAAAGTTGAGAAGGAATTCAAAGAGAGTGGAGGGAAATGACATGAAATGGGGAAAAAATATGATGTCCACTTGTAGAAAAATGAACCCTCCCAGAGGCTTCAGGCTGTGTACAAAAATCCTCACAAGCAACAAAGTTTGACAGACTTTCAATCAATCACAAGACAAGTAAACCGGACGACAGGAGTTGACCAAGGGGTCTAGTGTTGCACGTTGTGTCTCTGCTGTCTAGCTGTTTGCTGGTTTCACTGAAGATAACTGACTCTGATGTTTGCGAAACTTTTTAAATTCAACATAGCCACAGGCTTCTAACTTCTTGCACATCAGCGGCACTGGGTGTGAGCAAATTTTCAAAAACATTTACACAACAGCAACAACCAACACCAAAAAGTTTGCACATTTAACGAATGCAATGGGAAGCGAAAAATGAAACAAACAAATTCCAAATTTTACCATTTGTGAGGCCTGGTTACCGAGTAAGCGAATATCAAGCAAAACGGGGAAGAAAGAAAACAAAATAAGCATGTAAGAAACCGTTAAAGAAAATATGTGCACAAGGAGAATATCAGCCAATTGTTACATGCTGGTTTTATTTTACTACCCGGCTGGATATTAACCACTTCCTGCCGGGGATTCCAGATCCGGACACGTATGCTTTATATGCGTGGCCAGGGTCTCCAAACTCGGACAAAGGGAACAGGGCCTTGTGACAAAAGACAGTACTCGGAACAAAAGACCATGCTGCTGGGCATTACCGACATTTTTTCACTCTCAAAAGTGGAGATAATCCAGCCTTGTTTTGAAACAGTATACCACGGTTTAGGGCATTTAAAGCGAGCGGAAGATAAGAAGATATGAAGATAAGAACTTTTAAAGAATTTTGAAAACAGAAAAAATGATAAATATCCCGGCCCAGCATCATCAACATTGATAACTGCCCCAGCAGGGAGTGGTTAACACCAGGACTTGTAGTTAGGATCATTGGGTATCTATAAACCGGGAGAGGAGCTAGGAGGGGGGGGGCAAACAGGGGACAAGTCTAGGCCCAGGGCAGCTTTCCACAGGTCAAATTCTTGTTTGTTTTTCTTTTCAACTGTAAATGAAACATCAGGGAGTGCAACATTAGTGGGGTTTCATACATGGATACATGCGTGAGTTTTTAAACATGCACGTCAAATGCAAACAATGTACAGATAGAAGGAAACACTCTGCTTTTCGGCAATGACGATGGACAAAGCAGCCATAAAACCAACGGCTACATTTATCATGTCAAGTGAATATGCGATGATTACATGCTTGTAATTATACCTGGCTCATTCAATGCACAAAATGAATAAGACATGGTTTATGTATCAGGCTATTTTACCCAGCAAGATGTGGGACAGAGAGGTACCGCCCCCCACATGTCCAATCCCTATACACAGATCTAGACTATTGTCAAACACATTTCCCCCCCCCCCGATGTCAGAAAAGGATTCCTGAGATTCTGATCAAACAATGACCAATAAAAAGGTGTGTGGGGGGTGCTCTCCATCCCATATCTTGCATCAAATGGACTGGAGGCCCTGTGCTAGTCTTCTGATGGTCATCTGGGTTCTTGTGATGGTCTCAAGGGGTCTCAACTATGACACCGGTTAGTAATTCTACAAAACTGAGCACTGGTGAATCGAGTGGACTTGTAACTATAATACATTCAACAAAGGACACCTGTTACCTCCAGGGGCAAGGGGAACTTGATAATGGGATGGGGCTTTCATTCATCAGAAAATCCAGGTCATATCTGAAATGCTGATAATGGTTCGCTCTGTAGAAACTGAGTCCCCTTTGCTCAGCATATTGAACAAAAAATGGCATATCAAGCAAAACACAGAACCTTTTTGAATATTTTAATTGCTTTTGTTTGAGAATGATCCAATAACATGCCCCTGTCAATTTGGTAAAACATTTTTCAAAGTCAGTATTCTGCAATTTCTCACAGAGCACCAGAGGTCCAAAAGATGAATCCAACCCCCCCCCCCGAAAAAATATGTTTTGGTTCTATTTCCAACAACATATCCCGTGAAAATGCTCAGCTTGCTTTGAGACTCATTTTCTCAGAGCGGGCTCTCATATCATGAGAAAAATGTTTCAAATCCGCACCTTCCAAAAGCCAACAGGGAAGGGGATTTAGAGTGGGAGGATTCTGCAGGATTGGGGAAGGTAGATCCCGGCCCCTCAATGACATGGGGTCAGGTGGAAATGAAAAGGATCCATGCAGTGGGTTCTTAGTTTCTTGCCGCACAATTGGTGGCTTGAAGGACAAATATGGAGGGGGAAAGGCCGAGGGAATTGGGATTAACAAAGCCGCATTGATGATAACATGAATAGCTTTCTAGCTCTAAAGAGATATTCTTGTGCCATACTAATCAGCTCGGCAATTAGCACAGAAGGTATCACCATGCAAAAAAGTACGGTACCCACAAGTAACCAATGGAAACTGAAAAACAACTGATGAACGCAACTCTGAGAGGCTAGACAGACATAAAATATACATACGACACAACACTGACCCTCTGCATATTCATGAAGTGCGTTGTGAGGTGTAATTCAAGCAAAGTTTAAGCAGCAAAAGAACAAGCCAAAATAAAAGACACCAACAGAAAATGGTTTAGTATGGCAAGAAATGACCAGACAAAAATGATGAATGACTTTTTAATATTTCTGTACAATGGTTGACGCCATGATTCATTCTGCAATGACTTTGAATTCTGACGCTATGTAAACACATCAAAACTGAATTAGAAAGTAACTGCAAGGCAAGAATGACCACAAACGGGGAAAAACCGTATGCGGCAGCCAAGTCAGCCACAGAACAAGTGAACACGTTCAATCCGAAATTTGTGCCAATGCAATGGAAAGTAAACAAACAAGTAAACAAATTTACATTTATAGAATACTTGGCGATTATATGCACTCGATGATATGATAAGAAACATTCCAAAAATGACAGAAATAAGTAATTTTGTTACAAAAATGGAAATGACGTACATTGCACTTTTTGACAATTTCAAGACCATTTTCTTTCTCAATGAATAACAATTTTCACGTCATAAAATTGACGTGACATTTGGACCCCTTCCTCCTCCAAAAAGTTTACTTACTTTTCCTTCTGATAAAATGATATCTATGATGCTACCCACGACAATGACAAAATCAAACAAGTTCCATAAATCTCGGACATAATTCTGCAAGGAAGAAGGAGAACACAATCATCAGCAATTACAGAACTAAAAGATAACCTAAGCTGGCATTTAGGTACCAAGAGAAACTGTGCAACATTTCCACAAGCAAATTCACACTTGAAATTTGTTGTAAGTGTGAGAGAACTTTCGAGTCATACAAGGTCTTTTGAAAAACTCGTACGTAACATAAAACAATGGAAACCGCCAACAATTTTAACCCACCTAATGTCCACTTTAATCTCAAAGCCAAACTCAGTGAGCTCAGTTTGCTCTTTCTAATGCGAAGTCGAACAAAGTTACTTTTGTTACTTCATTTTGTGGGAGCCGGTCACAATTTATTGCTTTATGCCATTGGATAGCTCAAGAAACATTCCCTGGCAAAATTTGCCCGAGCTAAAATGTCTTCCGACTTCTGTCAGTTTGCAGTGCAGCTTTCTGTGGTGACATCTAGACCCAACTATGTGTTTCTTTCCAAGCCCACAGTCGACCGTTTCATTAGATGGAGAGGTCAAAGGTCAAGACAAAGATCACCCCCTGTGCTCACCTTTATCTTGAAGGCAATGATTTTGAGAATACATTCCAACAAAAATATTGCAGTGAAAACTATGTTGACTCTGTCTAGCACTTCTGAATATTCGTCTGACTGATCGTAGTACTATGAAAGGAGAAAAAGGAAAGCCAAAATCATTGCAAGTTTGTAACAACATCACCATGGGCATTATGGGAGTGGGGGGCAGTAGAGGGCCAGGGGGACACTTCACAACCACCACAGTGTGATAAATTTATTTAACAGATTCATTTATGCATGCATAATGTGGTATGAGTACAGGGATTTCCCTCCACTTGCGCAAACACTAATGCAGCCCAGGCGAGTCTTCACTGAGATAAACTGCTACAGAGCCAACAGGGACTGCAACTCTGGCCAGACACAGCAACTCTGACCAATTTTCAAACGTGGTCAACTTCGACAAGGCCTTCGGTTACCAGCAGTCGCACATTGTGCGCAATGACCACAGCTGCAATAGCTGCCGTCACAAAATGCTCAAAGGACTCTCTCTCTCTCCTCGGTGAAAGCCAAGCTTCCCACGAGGTCCTCTCACCTTCATAGCCAGAACAATGGTGTTGACCATGATAAGCACGAAGATCAGGTACTCAAACGGTCGAGAAGTCACTATTTTCCACACTTTCAACTGCTTTGAATTCTTGGGAATGTACTTCTTCTTCGGCCTGGCTTTCAGGGCAAACTCGAGGCACTGACGCTGCGGGTCAAAAAATATCATACACCAAATCACATTGACCAAATGGTTCCTGCAGGCTGAAGAGTAAAACTAAGCAAGCATAGTTCAGTTCTCGGAGACAAGGGAGAATCTGTGAGGTATCTTCAATCTGAAGAAATTGCGAGTGCATCACAAGTCTCTGCTTGTCCATTGGTGGCAAATTTGCCAAAAGGTCAAGTCATGAGCCACCGCGACAAATGAACCGCGACAGAAGCATTCCATTTTTTTAAATCCCTCTACTTGTGACTTGCCTTGTGGAGCGACCTGTGGTAGACTCAACTACAACACTGCTTAGAAAAGAGGGAATGATCTCAAAAAGGATTCAAGAACTAGAACTGGCATGCATTCTATGTTGGCAAGTATGACGGTGAAAAATCCTTACTAGCTAACTAAAACCTGAAGTAAATCAACCAACTTCAAAATGAGATTGAAATCCCTCTAGGTGGAGTATTGATAAATGTACTCTTCCCTGATATATTTGCCTCCTCAATGCAATAGTCTGACAAATCATGCCTGGCACATGATCCCAATGGTTGTCTGGTGCCTGGTATTCCACGCCTGGCCACGTCTGACCAATCAAGCCGGGTAAACACACCTGATTCTTTTCCGGCTGATTGCTCTTGATCAAGAACTGACCAATCACAAACGGTGACCGCGTCCTACCCCGATCGCATCCGTTGGTACGCACCTGATTCTTGTCAAGCTCACAATTCTTGAACTCCTGCTCCCCTTCGTTCTGGAAGGTGACAATGACGAAACCCACAAAGATATTGACCATGAAGAAGGCAACGACAATGATGTAGATAAAGAAGAAGATGGCCACACCCAGCTGGTTGTTCCTGATTGGACCGTGGTCGGGCTCGCTGGCTGCATCTATCGCAACGTACAACAACCTTTGGGCAGTGGGAGAAATGAACTACATTTTAAACCGCATGCATCATGGCTGATGTGAACGGCACGATATATTGTCACTTCACAAAACTCATCAGAAATAAAAAGGAAATTTCATCAAAACTGAGATGAAAACTCAACTCACTGTGGCCAGCCCTCAAACGTGCAGATGGTAAAGAGAGCTAGCATTCCGCTGCCAACGTTGTTGAAACTGAACTCGTTCAACTTCCACACTCTCGGTTTGACGACAGGCTCTAAGTAGTTGCCATCCTTATACTCAATAAAATTACCGCTAAAGAAAGAATGCAGAGGACATTGCAATTATGAGTGGAAAAAAAGGACAAGTACTCAAGCCATTGCAAGAGCGGGCTTTTTCAGACTCCCTGTTTTTGGTATCTGTCCACCCTCTCGATCTCAGCTGTCGAATGACCAATCTGTGTGAAACATGGCACTCATGTATTAAAAGGTACTCGTTTTGGGCATATCTGTTAACTGTTGATTCAGACCAACAAGGAGATTTGCTGTTATGAGCATTTATAGTTTGCACTTTCAAGCGTGTCGGCCCTTGCAACGAGGATGTCAACAGCACAAGTTGGCATTCTTGCCAACCTGTATTGCTTCACAAGAAGATGCAGCCAAGTTTTCGCAAGGAATTGGTTTACCCTCTACCTTACACCCCTAGCTAAGATCCTGAATCCAAGACTGGATAGACTTGGGACTGGCTTGTCAGTGGATTATGATTGACCCTCCCCCCCCCCCCCACACACCCACAAATTGACTCACTGGCAGTGTTCCTCTGTCATTTTGGACAGGTCCGTGCAGGAGTAAAACTTCCCGCTAAAGAGCTGGACGCCGATGCAGGCGAACATGAAGACCAGGAGCAGCATGACCATCATGATGTTCCCGATGGTCTTGATGGCCACAAAGACGCACTGGACCACGTGTTTCAGGCCCTTGGCGCGATTGATGGCCCTCAGCGGCCGAAGCACCCTCAGCACTCTTAAAATTTTCACCGCCGAGATGGCCCCTTGCCCTCTGTCGTGACGGAGCAGAAGTGAACAAGAAAAAAAAACACCTGAACTGAGCGACAGCTTTAATCAAGAAGTGTGAACATGAGATTAGGATTTTTCAATGTAAGGAAAAGGAAACATCAATAATTTATCGTGTGATAGCAGAGCAAGTGAACTTTTTTACTACTCGTTCAACGTCAAGGAGAAACGCTACTGAAGCACACATGCTTATAGATATTTATACCTAAGAGAACAAGGCATTGTATGTCATCTTACTCTTCCCAGACAAAACTCCTCCAAGGATAAGAACACAAATATGCAGCAGTGTTGTGGTGGAGTCCGTCATGAGTCTCTTCACAAGTTCAGTCAAAGGGAATAGTGTGCTCAGTGACAGAGGAATGTTTTCCTCACAGTTCATTTGAAAAGCTGGTGAGTTGGCTTAAGACTGGATGACTTGTTTATGGACTTGTAGGGTCTTGCAAAAGACTCCACTAAAAACTCTGGGGTATGTTACCGGGGAACTTTTTCGGCAGTCAAAGTGTCTACAGATGCCCTAGTTGGGCAAAAAGCCAATAAACGTGGCCGGTTTCAAGCAAAACCAGAAAATCAGAAAATATTCAGAAAATTTGGAGTGATGATAAAAATCTCACGATGTGATCAATCTCAAAATGTTGTCGCTGGCAAAGTACTGAAACTAGAGTAACATGGCAAAAAAGTTTTTGCCTAGGCATGCTACAATTAATTAATTATTTGCAAGTAAACTGGTACTGGGGTCATTCCATGAGGTTGGGGCACAATTTGTGACAGTATCCACTGTTATGTGGGTTCCGTAAAAATGAACAGCTATTTCCCTGCAAGTGGATTCCAAATCATACATCTTGCAAAGCTGAATACAGAGGTGTGTGTTACTTTTACACAGTAAATGACCTACTCTACAAGTCATGACAGGTGGTTAAAGTTGCCCACGTAACAAGGACACCGTCTCAAATTGTGCCCCAACCTCATGGAATGACCCACTGACAAGATTTTTTGATATGACTTACTGGAGTGCAATGGAGATATAAGACACTGTTACAACTAACAAGTCCAGAAGGTTGAAGAAATTACGACAGAAGGCACCTTTGTGAATGACTAATCCAAACGAAATCACCTGGTCAGAACGGTACAAAACAAAATGCGCAATTGTCAAAGTGCAAGTTTCAGTTGTCAATGTGACAATGGAGAGCATCTCAGAATACTCAGGGTTCCTTTTCAAACAACCCACTTGCAACAACACTGTGTAAAAAATGCCAGATGAGCAAATGCACCATCAGTTTCTGCATGAGTACTGTACATCAAGGGGCATGTGGCTTGGTCGTTAGCATTTGTAGCTTCTGATCATAGGGTCTGGGGTTCCAATCCAGCTGGTGACAGCATGTTGCGATCTTGGGTAAGTCACTTTTACCCCTGTGAGCCTATCTCTGCCCAGGAGTATTAAAATGAGTACCTGTGAGTAGTCCTTTGTGCCTGATGTGGTTGCCCATGGGAGCTGAGATGGTTTCAGGAATGTTCAGATGTTGTGAACCCAATGAGCAGGGTTAATGACTTCCAGCGCATAGCAAAATTATTGTATTATGCGCTTTATAAGAACTGTTCATTCTTATTATTAATTCTTCAAACTGTGGCAATTCTTTAAACAAATTCAGTTTTTCAATCAACTCACCTTTAAAAGAATCTCTATCGTAAATGCTACAGTGAACCCATAGTCAAAACAGTTTAGAATCTGCAGGGAGGAAAAAAACACACAGGAAATTAAAATCCTTTCACTCATGTAAACATCCAACTTGCCCCGACTTGCCCCCTACTCTCGCCCAAATACATACTGCAAGCCGGCACGCTCTCATTTAAAACTCGGTGAATAAAGCAGCTTACACCCTGGGAGTGGAGGGAATAGGACTTGACACGTTACATGTCCAAGAGGCCTGCAACTTGACTTACAAAGTTTAACGTCTTGTTTTTGTCTATTGGATCCTCAGCGGCAAGCATGATGCTGCTGATGAGGATCAGTAGCAAGACGACGTTGGAGAAGTAGTTGTGAGTGCACACGAAGTAGCAGCCTTTACGGAACCTGTTTAAAAATATATAAAACAAGTCAGCGACTTCAACTCAACTTTTACCCCGCTGAAAAACCTGCAACATCACTGCGCTTTTTCCTGGTCATGTCGTCATGTTCTCAATGGTGGCCCATGAACACCACGGTCCCACAAATCATTTGAAGGCAAGATCTAATACAAATGTGAACACATGCCAGCATGACGCAATTATGTGCCGAGGTTACTGTTTGGATAACGCAGCTGTGTATAATGACGGATGTTGCTTATCCGGGTCTTGGGTCCAAGGGAGAGAGACTTCCAACAAGGGAAAATGTTTGGAAACATGTCACCAGATTTGGTCCCTTCATAAAAATTTTGTCAAAGTTGAAGGGCGGGTGAAATTACTACTTACAGCACAAGCCATTTAAATCCTTTGTCCCAGAGTTTCACTGAGTAAGATAGACATGGGAAGGGGGCTACAGTCCCCAACCACCCAGTACATCCCCACAAATCTTAAAAATGACACAGAGACATAATGAGAAAGTTTCAATGAGATGCTTTCCAGGAATTGAACTTTGACCTGTGGGGAGGAGAAGGAAGTAATGGTGGAGGGGGGGCACACCTGTTCTCTGGGCCTAAGACGAACAGCGAGCTCTCCTTGGGCATGGGTGCCTTCTTGTTGGGCAGATCCAGCTCTGACAGACGGCGCGGCCTGGCCGATTGCGTTGTCAAGGTCTCTTCTTCCTCCTCATCCTCGTCCTCGTCTCCTAGGCGACGGGATGTGGATAGAAATTCACTCTGATAATCATGTCGTAGTCAGTTTTGCTGCACTGTTACTACTGTGACGGTGAAGTCTGCAACTATCACACCCTACTTTACTCACCTGTCAGGGGGGTAACAGACACCTTCGTACACCAACGGTCAGACTGGGATCTACACATCAGGATAACCCCTTATAGCAACACTACAAAATGGCATTACAGCTGTACAAAATAACTAACCCTTGACAATCTCCTGACGTACGGTAGTCAGGTACTTATCCATATGCTATGTGCAAAATTGTGTATCATTTTATAATCTACATTTCACTTTTCTGCCCTCGATAACCACCCTCAATGAGAGACATCCAGCAATGGCTACCAGGATTCATACACCTCACAGAGAAGTTTTTCCAGGACATTTCAGGTGTTTTCAACCTATAATTTCCAGGAGTTTCGTGCCACATTTGGTCCCATTATAATACCAGCAACAAGTTTGAGGGGCATGCACATTATAATTACATAACGCTGCATGAGTGCACGGACAGGTATGTGTATTTTCCCCCCATTTCATAGCGTAATTAACAGGGCAAGCTGGCAATTCTGACTTGCCATATGTGACAACCTGGATGTGACAATGGTAAATAATTGACTAACAAGACTAAAATGAAGATAAAACAAGAGGACCTTTATTAAATTCAAGGACATTCCAGGATTTTTACAAAGCATTTTGAAAAGTTCAGGACATTCAAGGATTTTCAAGGATCAACTTTTTTTCAAGTACATTCAAGGAATCCCAGGTGCTGTGCAAACCCTGGGCTACTAACAGCAGCTGAAGCTCTTTCTGGAGAGGCGACTTACCCGGCTCTTTGAGTGCCTTCTTGGCCTCGTCTTCTTCAATGTGGACTTGCTGAAGGAGGAAAGTACAATAGTGCACTTTAAATGTGACAGGTCAACATATGAGGCCAAAGAATTCATCTCCTGCTCTCAAAGCAATGCCAAACTTTGAGAGGATGTCAATGCAAGGAACAGTAAGTGTGGATAGATGACCTGTGAAATCCACAAGATGCAACTGAATTGAGCGACATCCTGCCCAAGTTTTTGGATAGATTTTTTTAGAGATTATGGGATAGTTTACACAGAATACAATGGGACCATCTAAGACGGGTATTCCGCATCATAGGGTTAAGATAATGTTAACGCAATCGGTGGATACAAGCATAGTGTTGGAGGCAAAAGGGATTTATGACACTATAAGTTCTTACCTTCTCTCCATCCTCTATGGCCCTGGGTACAGAAAGAAAGCAACAATCAGTATATTGTGCCATTAAAAAACATTTAAAGATACAAACTAGAACAGCGAAGCCGCCATGGCTCGCCGGTTCATATGAATCTCAATTTCTTTACCTCAAAAGCAGCTCATATTAAGAGTCATCCATGCAAGTTACAAATTGTACTGGAATAAAACAAGGAATCATGCTAACCAAGTGCAAGCTTGCCACAATTTTAAAGAACAGTAAGCACAGAAAAATTGGCTGATCAATGACTACATTGTGGATGTAAAATGAATGCCACTTAAAAGGTTTCACCCCCTCCCCATCATCCCATCCATCGTCTCTCCTCCGCCCTAACCCATCATCCCGTCCATCTCCAACCCTGCCCAATCCTAGCTATCTCCTACACTGCCCCATCCCATCATCCCATCCATCGTCTCCTCCGCCCTAACCCATCTGGACTCACTTGTGATTGTTGGAGGAGGGCGCCTCCTTGTTCAGTGCCTTGCGCTTCTCCTGCAGCCTCTTAGGGCCTCGGATCACCCCCTTGGGGTCCACCCCGGGTGGCAGCTGCTTGGAGAGGTCCACCTCGTTGGCCCGCCGGATGGACTTGTTTCTCTTCTCCTCCTCCCGCTCCTTCTCCAGGGCGGTCAGGCTCTCGGCATCGGCAAGATTGTCCACGGCGATGGCCAAGAAGACGTTGAGGAGGATGTCTGAGGGAGAAGAGGTGCAGCTAAGGAAAAAAAAAGTTCTGGGGAGGAAGCTTGTTCTCCTGGATCTGAATTGATACTACCAGTGCAGATAACTGCATTGTAACAACGGATGACCTTTAGAACCAAGAATGTTATGGCATCCGGTGGATAGGAGGCAAGTGGAAGCAGTTTACAGCTTTGGAGGTGGACGGTAAACCCCAGAACATCACTCTGGGTAAAACATCAGGCAAAATTTCTAGGATGCCATTCAGGATCATACTCAAAGCTCAAAAATATACCTTGTTAAGGCCTTAAATCAGTCCAAAATTTCAAATGAGGATAGACTGATATCAGGTATCTGCCTGAATAAACTGCCATCCCTGGAAAGTTCCAGATATAGTAGACAGGAAGGATACAGTTTCCCCAGATGTAGAGAATGATGAAGTAGCTGCTGGCAATGATGCCGATGGAGTGTACACCGCCATAGGCCGCTATTCCGTCATACATCACTTCGTTCCAGTCCTCACCTGTCAGAATCTGTCAGGGCAAAGCACAGGAAAACGATGAACTTGATCAGCACTCAGACAGCTCAGAACTGCCCTTTTTAATCCCTCTGTCACCTCCCCCCGTACCCCCTCTCCCCTCCTGGTTGTTTCCTCCACCCACCTGAAACACGGTAAAGAGAGACTGCCAGAAGTTGTCAAAGTTGCTGCGCGGCTTGTCCTGGGTCTTGTTGAAGTTGAAGCGGCCGCCAAACACCTGCATCCCCAGCAGGGCAAAGATGAGGATAAAGAGGAACAGGAGGAGCAGGAGACTGGCAATGGAGCGCATGCTGTTCAGGAGGGAGGCCACCAGGTTGCGAAGAGATGCCCAGTATCTAAGGCCAGAACAAAACAAAAAAAAAACATGAGAGACAAACATGCGGGCCTGATAAGACCTCTTCAAATGCCCCACTTTCCATGTAAGGATCTTTATCTTGGATATCCCTGGGAGAAAGACACTACCTCTGCGCACAAACACCCTTCACTGGCTCACTCCCTCACCATCTGTCCTTGGTGTGGACCAGTCAAGATGGATCCACTTCTGGAGCGACTGACAAAGTAAATTCACCGCCTTGAATCCACTCACCTGGTTACTTTGAAGACTCGCAGTAGTCTGACACACCGCAGCACGCTGATCCCGATGGGCTGGATGACACCGGCATACATCAGTACCACCTCCACCATGCTGCTGCAGACCACGAAGCAGTCGAAGCGGTTGAAGAGGGAGACGAAGTAGCCCTGGAGACCCAGGCTGTACATCTTGATGAGCATCTCCACGGTGAAGATGACCACAAAGAGGAGGTTGCCGATGTCTGCGGAAGTGCGAAAGAGACGAGCGAGAAGGCTGGAGATGAACACAGTCGTGCAGGGTAAGGGGTTTACAGATCGCAACGAAAGGGTCCAGGATTCAAATCCGGCAGCTGGTTACATATCCGGTCTGACTGGAAGCAGACCCATATTGGAAAAAAAGACAGGCTGGAAAAAATTTTAACTTGGCGACAGGTGAAGACCCTATAGTGCGTTCAATGCCAAATGCCATACACCTATGCGTGCACATGGTGGTTTACCAGCAAAGCACCACCGTTTTGCAAAAGATCTTGGGCAAATCACTTTAACCCTACGCGCCTCTCTCCATCGAGGACTAAAGGGGGTACCTCCAAGGACAAACATGGTTACTGCTGTGGAATTGCATACCCCCCAGGGAGCCAAGGTGGATTCAGGAATGTTTAGGAATGTTGAGAGCTCAGTTAGCAGGGATGATAAAATAAATCAATGCATTTGAATGACAAATATTGTCAGATGTTGCGCATCATTTACATGTATGTTATTATTTTTTTTTAAATTCTAGAACTTCTACGAAACCGTGGGGGCTCCACGCATGATGAAGAGGGGATGTCCAAGCAATCAATCCTCTGGAAACCCGAACTGAAGGGAAAGTGAAGCAACGGTATCATCACTGGATATAATCTATATAAAGCATCCCCAGACCCCCCCTCCCCAATCAGCAGCAAAACTCCCAAAGCTCTACCTTGGAAATCCATGAGCCACTTGGGCTGCCGGTAGTGTTCGGAGGCCAGAATGATGGTGTTGAGAAACACCATGATGATGACCACCCAGTAGAAGGCCTGGGACTTGACTGCTTGCCGGCACAGTCTTCGACACCTTCGATTCCATCGTCTCATCTGCCGTCTGTGCAGAAAAAAAAACCACCAAAGCGGGTTGCCAGTTAACAGCCCATTAAGGAGCCATTCAAGTCATGTGACATGAATATTCAACAGCTCTCTGCAGCATTTAAAGGTAAAATATATGAATCGGTATCTAAATTACACTAGGCTTGGCACTTTATTTCACGTTGCTAAACCTGGATTAAAAATAAAATAACTTTGTTTCTTTCCAATTAATTTTTTTCTGTTGTTCAGAACCTTAATGCTCTGTAACAATAACTTTTCAGAACATTTCAACGTCGAGTACACAAACAGCACAGTGTAAAAAGTCAGATGAAACCACATCACTTTTTTTAACTTAATATTACACACACAATTTGTGAAGGGATCTGCGCAAGAAAATACATCAGGTTTAATAACAAAGCATGTGAACAAGCAAAATTAACTCAATCTTTTCCAAGAAGTCAACCAAAAAGGAAAACCCCCTCAAGAACTCAGCCAATGGAGGAAAGTATTTTTGACATCCTTGATTGAGCTGGAACTCCCCCCCCAAAAAAATCCCCTGATGAGCAAGGCATCAAATTTCTCACTTTTTCCGCTGCATCCAGGACTGCTGCGGTATGTCGGTGCTTCCAAGCTCCTCCGATTTCTCTGAGGAATCCGACTCACTCATCGGCTTAGGTACTGCCACACAAGCAAGGAGGGAACAAAAAAAAAAAAAAAACGAGTCACACAAGCATGAACAGGCAATCCAATTTATTTCACGTAGTTCCTGCCATTGCCATTCCCCTCCCCCCCTCCCAAAGAGACTAGCCTGCATTCACACCCCAAGCCAGCTAGGGAGAAACCCTAGCCTGGTCACTAAAACCCCACTGATACGGCTGACTGCCTTGAAATTTTCGCAAACCTCACCAGGGGGAAAAAAATGTGTAAACCGGAATTGGTTTGGCACCTTTCGTCGAGGTGTGACATGTCTTATGAATTAATCAGCAGCTTTGGCTAAGATTCCTGGTGGCATTTTTCAACAAGTAGTTGGTGTCGCTGAGGAGTTCATCTGTTGCACTATTTTAACAGACGGGTTTTAACACTCCAGATAGATTTTAACAAAAAGAATAGATGGTTAACTTTGTGCACGTGAGGCTGGGTAAAAGTACTGTCGTGTAGACACTTTTAACATGAATTTCGTGTGTGACATACTTAGTTTTCTGTTCTTTCCTTTTCATCTGACTGTACTTTTGGAGGGCTTGGACGTTGGGCAACAATAAATGTGTAGTTCCTTGCATAAATTTCCATCTTTAAACACGCATGTTGGCCAAATCACTCTGTTTATCATTTCACAGGGCCCATCAAAGGAGCAATATCAAGTTCTTCGTCCCAGGGTGCATTTTTATATCTCACTGAAAATGTGCTTAGTAACATGCAAAAATAAAACTGGTTAATAAGAGCATGCCTCACATCTACAGTGTGCTTGAAACATCTGTACTACGACTTGAAAAATACACATGCAAGCTAGTTGTTTCTCCTTGCTTCGAAAGGAGTGGTCAGTAAAGTTGGAGGGTCAAAAGAAAGAATCCGGACATATTTCTTCTGACCAACACAGATGTACCAATTGTCCGTAGATATAGGTCTAATGTATGCATGCAGTCCACACAGTAATAGTCGCCATATTTTGGCAAAAGTCCCAATTTCCAAACCAGGATTTTGTACGTTTTTTTAAATGTTCATTCAGTGTGTGGTACAAACACAGACAGTAATGCATTCCATCAAAAATCACAAACTGTCCAACTGAAAGGAAAGCAAACCATTACAAACATCAAAACTAAAAAAAATCAATCCAAGTCAAAATATGAACCATGGACAAATCTGATCCGAAAAGTGGTCCCATCTGGGGATACCCGGTATGTGTTAATGTTGCAGAACGTATCACTGCATCGTCACGAGTTCGCTGGTTGCCACAAGGCAAAACTGTCACCCTATTAAATGCGTTCTTCTCTTCCGCGTACTCCACAGTATAACATCAACTACCTTTAAACCAGTCTGTGTACAAGGCTGTCACATGCCCGGTCATGGAATAGGTCTGTTTACTCCCTCTGAAAGTCCACATGAAACGACCACAACGTGCATCTTTGTTGTACATAAAGTGAGACATGGTCTAAATTGCATGCAGTGTTTACAAATACAACTAGACTCACATGCAAAAACATCCCAAGTGAATTTTCTCCTTTTTTACAAAATTCTCTTTAAACTTTTCTGAAAAAAGGAAAATGAAAACATGAAAGCAAATTTATTTCCTGAAACAAAGCCCATTCACAGGAGAAAATACTTTATAAGAAATACAGCAGGAAAAAAAAACCCAGAAAACAAATAAAGACATTGAACTTCTAGAAATATACAAACTCACTAGCAACATTTAAGGCTTTTCAATAAAATTGCCAGTCACATAACAGAATTCTTTCACATGTTTTTTTTCTCTGTTTTGAAAAATAAAAGTACTGATTGGTTGACAAAATTACTTTTTTTTCACAAATGAAATAAAAGTCAGGCATCAAAATTCACTTGAGACATTCAGTCAACATGAAATAAACTCGAAATATCTCTTGTTTATATAACATACAATACCTTTTGTGTTAAGAGTGCCAAGTCGCTTCCATAGGACTGTTTATGCACCCAGAATTTAGTTTTAAAACAAACACAGTTATTCATAACAAATATATTAATACGTGAATGGTGACAAAGAATTCTGAAAGCATCAAAAACATTAACAACAGGTGCCTGCCAGAGAGCTATTAGTTGCTGGGAATTAATGAAATAAAGTAAAATTCTTCAGCAACAGCTCAGGAAAATTCTGTAAATGTCCAGAAACAGCAGCAAGTGACAACATAATTAGTTTTAAAAAACAACGGAAAATTCAACAGAGGGTGTTTGGTGGAGTTTCCAAGACTATCTCTCCAGCGGGTTAACTTTGCCACATTAGCAAAAGTTGGGGGACATGTCTAAGTTACACTTGACTATGACTAGGAGATCCGCACGTGGCTAAGGTGAGCAACAAACTACGGCTTCACGCATTTGTTGCAGCCAAGTAAACTCCGACGTGGCCCCCAACGCAAATGGCTCCAATTTGCAGGTTCACTGCAATCAGCTGGTTCAGACAAAAGTGTTGCCTCAAACGTGAATTTTTTTTTAAAAAAACGGTTGTTAGTTGAAAAATGAAATGTCAAAATAACAGTTGTTACGCAGGACATCAACAGTTTTAGGGTTTATGTGGTACAGGAACAACAAAGGTTTGACAGCGTCCCAGAATCAGCCTTCAGTCATTAAACAATGCACACACTTTATTTCATTTGACTCTGACAAGAGACAGAACATGTCATTAACTGGACAACCCGGAGTGAAAAAAATTCAGGATGACCTGCTACAAAAATGTACATAGGAAAAAAAATTCAATGCCTTCAGGGACTGTGTAACTTGAGAAGGCTGCGTAATTCTTTTTCTTCCTTGCAAGATTCCTTTCTAACCCCCACCCATAGGGTGGTACCATTTCTACGAGTTGACACTTTAAAAAAAAAAAAAGAAGAATTAACTGGTACCATGTCTGCAGGGAGACAACTTTTCCCTGCCACCACCAACCGCCCCCCCTTCGGTCGATACACCTTTGCCTTTACACCCCTCCGCCCTCATACAGTGGCCAAATAACATGACATACTGCAAGGCCAATGAATTACATGTAACTCTGGATTTCCTCTGAGTAATTGGACCTTGAACAAAAGCGTGATGCATGAAGAAACATTCGCCCTCCCCCCTGCTGACAATGCCCTGCCCAAGAATCATTGCCCGTGCGGACTCCATATGACACGTTATTCAGCAGAGCTTTGTCCTAAGAGATGCGGTGAAATATCACCCCCAAGTTCTGTGAACCATTACAGAATAAACCCAGCGGTTTAGCTGTCTCAGAGACCATGTACATGTAGATTCCTACCGTGTTTTGGTGGTTCGCCATGCTGTTCGATCTCATTCTCTGGATCTATATCCTCTGCATAAAAAAAAATAATAAATATCATTAGAATTCTCTCTGTTTGATTGTTGATAATCACTCTTTTGAGCAGATATAGATGTATTTGCTATGAGTCTCAAGCTAGACCAACAGAGGGTGCAATTTTCCTAGCAACAGTGGCTCCTTTGGTCGGACCTGCACTCCACTGGTTCACGAACAACTATGAAATGCACATGTTTAATACGAGCGTGTCGCTAGCAGCAAAAGGAACATTCCTGACCAACATGCCTATTTTTAATCAACCGATGAGGGGATACTTTTGTTGAAGGCAGATACCACCAAGGATAGGGCATTATAGTTCCTGTTAGTTCCTACAGTGTAACACTCTCTCATAGACGAAGCACTGCCAGTTACAACCGAGGACAACAGACAGACCACTGAGGACAGGGAAACACCCTTTGTGTTCTGTCTTCTGTGGTGAAGTAAAACCTGCACAATTGAGCACAGCTCAAGTATTGACATGCCACGTTACCATCACCATTATTCCTTTGAGTTACAACACTCTCCACCACCGGCGGTGGAACAATTTTCACAGTGGGGGGGGCCCAGTTATTTGACCATCATGCATCAGCCATTAAGGGCTTGAGCCATCGAACCCCACCCAATTATAGGACCTGCAAAAAGTGGGGGGGCTACTGCCCCCCTCCCCACGAGTGCTCTCCAGACTCCTACTACATGTACTTGTACTTGCCATCAGTTTTCATATATTACACTTTAAGTCGAAAACAGCATTATATAAATGTAACCACAAGTATCATTCTAATTGGTGACAATTTCATTCAACAGGGAGCAGGTGGAAAAACTTTTGCTGACAAAACTATCACGGTTTTGTAGACTACTTCTATCATACTAACTGAATTACACATTTAAGTATTCAACGACAAGTGTGCCAAACACACACTTACATACTGTCCAGTTTCACCTTCAAGTTCTCGCTTTTTTGGATGACCCCAACAAACGTGAACTTTACAGAGACTAGTTGGCTGCATCCTCATATCAAACTTCTGTCAGAGCTCATATCAGATAATCAGCTCTGATAAATGTCTGCATTGAGTCCCATGGGACTTCACCTTACTCTCTTCAATGCACTTTTGCAAAATGTCAAATCAGAATAAATGCATTATGCCTCTTCATATGGGGCAGTTGGAAAAAAAGACATGTGTTTTATCAATACGGCCGTTTCACAATAGTGCGCCACCAAGAGTTTGGAACACGTTGGCCAATCACAATGCGCGAAATTTGTCGACCCAATGCGCGTTTGGAAAGGGTCGACAACTTTCGTGCGTTATGATTGGCCAACGTGTTGCAAACTCTTGGTGGCGCACTATTGTGAATCGCCCGTATTGCTGAATCATACACAGCTTTTTCATTTTTCAGGTTTTTTAGTGCCCCTTTTCAAGGCAGAAGTCTGGGTCCGTGCTGTGCAAATGGAAGATGCTTTTTATATCTCACTGCGCACATACAGTACATGTACACAATTCAGTGTTCACTCTTTAACCATATTTGCTCTGAACATAGAATGAAGAGGGCGCTGTACAGCCTAGCGACCAGCTATGTTCAATTTCCCAGGGCTGGTGGGCACAGAAATGGGCCGAGAGCAGGACGTCATCCTGGCAGGAACTGGATATCGGCCAAAATGTTGCACAGCATGTAATTCCTGCCAACTCGTCCCCCACTGCTCTGAGTCAAGCAGTAGGTATTTCCTGCTTTATATCAGCTCTAAGAAGTTAGGCCCTCCTCGGCAGGTCAAGAATAGCTTTAGCGGGTCTAAAAGCTGTCAGTCCACTCAGCCCACATACCAGGGAACGTGGGGTAGGATTCACAGCACAGAGAGAGAAAGACTGGTCTCTACACTGGTTCTATGTATTTCCCTGGTGATTTAGATGGTCTCCAGAATAACTTACGGCTACGACCAACAGGGGGTAATAACATGTCTGATAATGATAATTGAACTGATAATGGCAGGCATGATTAAAGTCAAAAGCCTGCATATACGGCTGTACATTCACGTTAAAATATTGCAGATGATTCTTAGTTTTTGAAATAGTTCCTGGAGCTCTTCTGTTTCTGGGGAATTACAAGTTAGGGCTCTGTGTTCAACACAAAAGAGAGGATGTTGTAATCAATTTGCACAGAATCAGAAAAGGTCAAGAAACAAATAACAGTTTACTGTTTTCTAAAAGTTCTGACTCAAGTGTACCCTCACTTCCAATATGTTTTTCGATAAATGAAAGCTGCCATAAACGACAGACATTTTCAAAGTGGCCACACAAACCCATGATGCATTGAAGACAAGCAAGGGATTTGATTATGACCTGCGTGGGCCGATTTGCCCAGAATATAATGCTTGAAGAGGGATACTCCAGATTTTTCCCATTAAAATTTTTCTAGAAAAAGGACATTTGTAAATGTCAAGTTAATTTGCAAACTGTGCGCAAGTAGCCCATCTCGCCTCATTTACTAGGTTTCTAGTTTGAGAATTAAAGAGAATCTGCATACAGGAATTCCTGATGGAAAATTCCGGGCCAGCAATTCGAGGAAAGGCAATACATGGTCATGAAAGGTTTGGAAAAAGACAAAGATATAACATCACAATAGCGATAAGACAAAAGGAGGGCAGTAATGAGCGTCATATGAGGTTAAGGTAGGCCTAAGGGAAATGTTCCTCTTCTTGTGCAGTCATTGTTGAAAACGATATGAATTCTTTCAGAAAGTTATAAGACATGTACCAGTAAGGGTAGCTCTTCATCAATTCTGATGGAAAGCCGACAGTTATGAAGAGTTGGAAACTGTATCACCATTAACTTCCCAAGCAATTTTTGTACTGTGCAGGTCTTCCTCATTAACCCTTATAGGCCTACACTCTTAAGCTGTTTCGAAGCACAAACTTGTTATACGTTGTAGAACTACTGAATAAGAAACTAGGGTAGTAAAAAGATTTATCCAGCCAGTACAAGGGATGGAGCCTGATTTATTTCCACAGATTAAATTCCGCATGCAATTAAAGGTTTTGTGGAAGTATCTCTAAACATTTTTTTTAAGAATTTGTTTTTCATCATAAGCAACAACGAGAATTGCTATAAAATGGCCATGACCGATTCTGGGCAGGTGGTCTCGGCAATCAAGGACGTTGTCCAACACAAACAGCCTATCATTTCACCCCGAGCACTCAGGCAAGTCTCCTCTGGCAGGAAACAGTCCCCCCCCACCACCACAATAACCACCGCCGACCAGTAGCTGGGGGAGACAGGCTTGGTCTAAGGCTGCCACTGCATTGCAGCCTACGCCGTAACTAGTATTAGTGTAAGCCTGGATGCATGCCTGCCGGTCAGTAACCTCCTGGGATTTCAGAAGACTGCCAGCACGGCCCTGGGGGCTTAACATACAAGGAAATGAAGCTAACAAAGGATGATGGACTTCTGCGAAGAGTAACATTTGAGAACAAGGAGTCTATGTCTTTGGTGGACTAAACAGACGGGAAATTGAAGTTGACAAACACAGAGCTGTTTTTTATTTTATTTTCTGTCTTTCTTTTTCAGAGGCACCCTTTTTCATATTGGATAGTTCGCCCTGCAGGGACATATATTGATCCACAGAGCATATTGGTGTTGTCCGAGGGCAGAGATAAAAGCTACAAGCTTGCTCGGGTAGGACTCAAACTTCCTACACTCTAATGCAGACGTCGCACCACTCAACTGGCCATTTTGAATCAGACGAGCAGTTTCCTTTGCCCAAACATTTTTTTATAAACACTTTTAAATTAAAAATGACAATGTCATACAAAATTCAGGCCATTTTAAATGATGAGTCTATCAAGTGAAATGCAGAGAGATCTTAAGCCCTTCGCAAGCATGAGGCACAAAGAAACTGCGACAACAGTCCTGCTCGGGGACACCATCAACGCCACTGTTCCGGCCAGGAATGATCCTCTCATCCCAACACAGACGCGGCTTTGACGTCAAACGTATTGAATGCCAGACAAAAGAAGGGTATTTCACTAAGGCCTGACAACGGTCTACGTGTGACAACACACAACTCCTTACAAGCCAGTATCCATATTATGCCATGAATTAATGATGACTGAGATACTGGGGGATAGCAAAATGGAGACGATACGTATTTTAATACCACAAATGGTTGTTGAGGCAGAGTGGTGTTGTGTGGAGTGGTGAATAAATAATCAGTCAATATGTGGCTCTGATGTCTCTACGCTTATATTGCAAACCAATGCGTCTGTGAGCATATGGGATAAACCCTGATGTGAACACACGCACACTTAGCATAATACAAATGTTAACGTTTGCTGGTAACTCTAACCATGTTAGTTTCATTCTCGCACTCCTCATATGTGAACAACAAATTCAAATCCTAATTTTTTTTTCATCCTTTTTTAAATCTTAATATAAATCACAAGAACAAACTGACGAGCTTTACTCCTGTTTACTTCCTGATGTCCAGTTCTCACTTTGTATCAGATGAATGACTCAAAGCCACCATACACCTGTTTTTCCAATGGTATGGAAATTGCAAATATTGAATACAGCGAGGCCCTCTGTACGACAATACAGAATCCAAGGCCATACAGTGTTCCTCTCCCCCCTCAAATACTCAGGCGCACTCCTCTTCATTAATTAACAGCACACATGCTGGTGCACTCCATGTGCACAGGTCTCCAGACAGTGTATAGAGTGTGTCAGTAAGTTTTTAGCTGAATGTGCACAAAGATAGCAGGTCTCAAGAGTGTGGCTGCAGTGTGCACAGAGTAAGCACTGCCAGTTTCAAGCTGAATGGGTACAAAATCCACAGGTCTTTAGTATTTGTGCATGTGTTGAGTATCCACAGCTTATTTTCATCTGAATGTGCACAAAGTTAACAGGTCTCCAGAGGCAGGTACAGTGTGCTTAGGCTAGTTTTTAGCTGAACGTGCACAAACCCAACAGGTCTCAAGGGTTCCTTAATATTTATAATTTGCACATCTACTACAAAGGGCCCACATGTAGTTTTACAGAGAGACAACAGACTGGTGTTCGAGATAACGGGCTCATAATTTCATGTTTACATTTGTTGCTATGTCTGACCATAAACTAACATTTCTAACGGCACGCAGTACACACTTCTCTGAAAGCCATTCCCCGACTGCTTTGTTATGCCAATATGGCTGAAACACCCCTCTAAAAATCACGGCCTCTATCCACCCACTAAACAGAAGTCAAATGTGAGAATTCATTTAAATTGTTCAGCATCAGATAGATCTTGCAATTCATTGATGGAGCTGCCAATAACTTTACAGTCCTCAGAGATGTATGGGTATACAATGGCAGTATCTCCTTCCAGTTCTAATAATACTGTATCTACTCTATTTTAAAACATTTAAAATGAACCTCATGTATGATTGACACTGGTTTTAAAGCAGAAATAAAACATACTTTCTTAATAATCAGAGATAAAAGCAAAATGAATGAATAAAACTGAGGCAGATTCTGCAAGTCTCACAATAGCAAGTTCTCTTTCACATTTTTTCTTACTATAACTTCTTAAAAAAAAGATTTCTTGGTTTGACTTGAACCAACAGAACTTCACTTGACAGTCCAGGGATTCCAACCCACAACCTTGAAATCAAACACCCAGTGTCCCAACCACTCACCTCCACTCACCCTAATGATCCAGCCTACTTCAACAAATCCAGTGTGAGACGATCCGAGCTCATGGAACAATTCAGAAATTGGTGTATATATAGCAGGCTGGACATGAACCAAGAACCTTCCAGATCCAGGCCAAGCCCCTCAACCACTCAGCTTCCTACCACCCAATTCTGCTGTAATGCATGATCCAGTTTAATGCACAACTCCTCACTCGGATGCCAATTTGCCCATTGCCGTCTTGAGGGACCAAGACGTGATCCTTGAACTTTCCAAATCTCAGGTGCTGCCGCTCAACACACTCACTCCCTCCCCCACCTGTAATCTCACCTGCTTGCATGATCCAGTCCAGATATCCTTTCAGATCCTCCTCAATCTGTTTCTTCTCTCGGAACTTCTGGAAGGCCCCTCGTGCTTTGGCTTTTTCTCTTTCTTTAGAAAACTCCCTGAGAGCGGGTCGGAAAAAAGTGGTATTTCATCAGGAGCAGCGGGTTGAGAAAAAGTACCAAGAGGAATGGAAAATGTAAAAACAAGCAGGCTGGGTACTTCATGCAAACACTACATTATCATGGATATGTGGAAACACCTGAGGTTTGCAACAATTTTTTTCAACCTGGGAAAATACGGCGGGGAGAAAACATTATGAAGTGTTACTACATTTGTTCTGCAGCAAAAGTCTTATGATCAAATCGAGCTTCTGCTAAAAACAACTCTGGTATTATATTTTAACCTCAATTTATACAGGTAAGTTTGGAGTAAAATTCATGTGAACCTGCACTCACACAGTGTAAGCTCTAAGGAAATATTCTGGTTATCTTTATTGAATGATCATCTTGGAAATATCTTTTTCCAAACTCAGGAGTATTCTTCTTAAAGAATTTTGTCCTTTCATTTTAATCTTCAGGAATTTTAAAAGTTGATTTATAAAAACTCAAAAATAAATAGTGTACGTAAAGACTTGAGTAAACTCTAGGCTTACTTCTGACAAAGCTATTTTTAAAACGGCCACATCATCCTCATTCCAATCCTTCAATAGGTTCATTTTTACGTCTGCGCGCCAATCAGTCCAGTCATGTGATGCCGGCAGACATTGATGTTATCATGTTCCCCCATAATTTCATGTCGGGACAAGTAAACTAGACCCCTGGCCCTAATAAATGACTACGACGCGGCTTGTAAAAGCTAGAGAGGCACTCCATCTAGCAGTGTCGCGTGCCTGGCATTAATTAACATTCACCAGACTGCTGTCTGGCTTTTTAAAGGGAAGATGCCAGTCGGCCAATCATAGCAACAGACATTAGTCATGTGACTCCAAGCCTCCAGTCATTTTTTTGAATGTCAACTGAGATCGGCAGAATTGTTTAGAGTTTTTCATTTGAGTTCTTCACGTAGGTTCAATTTGTTTCACTGCAGTTGAGAATGCATTTGCTCTGACAGCGATGGTTTGATGTATAGAAATGTGACGAAGTCACAACGCTTTTAAAAGCACACTTGCATGGTTTGTATGTAGACACTATTCACACACAATATGAAGCAGTTCAAGGAGAAAAGAGTGGGCCAACTTCCCACTGACAATGATAGAAAAAGCTGAACATTGCTCTCTTCAGAAGCTATATCCCAAAGCTATTTATTACATGAACGAGCAGTTAAATGTGCAAATATTGGCCACAATGTTTCAGCCAAAGTCACCACATTCTCACACTTGACGGCAAGTAGCGAAAAGAAGTTTTGTCCATATCTCAAAAGTGCCTCAAAAGTTACTGTGGCTCTTAAGTCTGGAAAGTATGAATAGGACGGAAAACATATCACCAAGAACATGAAGGTTGGCAACTCCTTTTTGCCAGATGCTGCATTACCCCACTCTTGAGTTCTAACTGGCAACTGCCTCATGAGATCTTGAGACCACTTGATGAGGCATCCACGTGTGCGCTGGGTGGACGGAAGGGGGAGATTTCGGGCTCATTATGAATGCCAGGAGAAGGAAATAGATAAAACATGTCGTGCTCCATATCTGGTGAGGCTCGGTGCTCCATCAATCTAGCTGCTGCGATCCAAATATCCGTGGTCGTTTCCTCAGCTGCCTGGTCGCTGGGAGTCCCGCGGCCTCCAATGCGTGGGGGTCACGCCTCTCCGTGTTGGGGAAGCGTTCACTCCTCCGGCGCTCAAATGTCAGGATTACCGCCAGGATGGCACCCGGGTAGAGTTTGTCTTTCTACCCACTTTGGGGGAAATTGAGGGGGGGAGGGGAAGGAAGGAGAGGTGAAGACGGGGAATCGGTGGGAGGCCGCGGGTGGCACGAGAAATGCACGTACAACTGCTTGCATTTTCTGAGAAAATGACATGAAAGCTCCACAGGGACAAACGGCAATTCACTCTCTTGACACCGAAGGAAATGACGGACGATGAAGTGTAGATTCAACAGATGGGAAGATAAAAGGGGATGTTTACAATATCTCTGAGTGCATTGATAACTGACAAGATAAACTGGGCTCGTGACTGAAACGGAATTTGTTTGTCTAAGCACCAGTGAAATTTCCTTCCAGCTACGGACATTTGAGGCTTTTGTTCTTTTGCTGTCGATCTCCTTTTCTGGCAGTGTGCACGGAGAGACAATTCACGACATATACATGACACAAACGCACATCCAAATTGATTGTTACTTTATTATTTTTCTTTTTTGAAGAGCTTAAATTCCAACCTCTGATGCAACAATGTGTGAAAATTTGATGGGGTTTCGAGTATTTAACTAAGATGGAAACTGATCAATGCCTTGCTTGTAAAGTTTTTCAGGTTCGTAAAGAAAATGTATCACTTGTTTGCATCCACACTCGGGACACATTGCAAATATCAAAAAGGTTCCTTGCAAAAGAAGGTACAATGCCAACAAGGAATGAGATTGTTTAATATTTATGAGACTGATGAATTGAAGATTACAAAGGGGGAGGGGATTTTTCCCCTAGTTTTCAGAGAAACTTAAAATAGCACTCAGAATAAATGAAAATAGACAGGTTTCTAATTTCAGAGTCTCAAAGAGATGTTGACATTTGGGGCTGGTTGCTCGACAGAACTGTGACCGGACACTTCTATTGTTCGCAAATGTCACGTCCCGTGCTTTGGGGATTTATAAGGTACATGCACTCCATTATACTGAGAGCAGCCTTATCGTTGGATGATTTGGTGAATAAACGGGTGGCCAAGGGGGGAGAGGGGACAATAAGAACATGTTGACGCAGAGTTTATTCAGGATACCACCAGATGTTCACGTTCTTGGAGGGCCTGGCACCACGGAGCGAGTTACCATATCGGTGTCAACAGGCTATGAAATTTGTTCCCAGTTCCAAAGGTCAGGCTACATCTGAAATCTGAGAGTGTTTTCTACAGTTCTGGCGGCATGCTGTGGCGCACAGATGGCAACACAATGTGCAACAATGTGCCCAACTGGGATGGGGCATTACTCTCGTGCTAGCTGTAATTCTTTCATTTGTAAAAGTACAGCTTTCAATGCATAAATCATTGGAAATTACACCCAAGTGATGTTAAGAGATTCTGCATACTTCTCATAAAGACATGTCACAAGCCTAGGAATTTCTCGCGGAATGACAAACAACTGCAAGCATTCAGAGGGTCTGTCTATCATTGCATTCTATGTGATTTAAAGTGGCACTCTAACCAGTCCAGACTGGTATCTCTAATCAAGATTGTCATTTCACAATGGGGGCTCATGGGAACCAGATGATGAATTTGAAATGAGGATAAGATGGCCGTTCATACCCCTTGAAGACTCATTTATGCAATATCTTGTATAAACTGCAATCTTCATAACACTGTGACAATATCCAGTCTAAGTGGTTAAAACTACGGTGAAAAGATGATATAAAGATCGAGTCATTTTAACTGTTAATTATATTGGGACAAGTTTAATCACAATACATGTAACAACAACAAAAGTACGGAACTTAAACATTTCTTGGAACTACCAGTACATCAAATGACCATGCAAACAATGAATCAAGTCACATGCACAGATTGCCACTGTAGAAAAAAAACAGTACAAGCCGCAAACAAAAAAAGTGACCACACTGAACCAGTTTCAAACCCACGCGCACCACCACTTACCCACTAAGAACACCGAGAATGAGATTGAGCACAAAGAACGAACCCAGGAGGATGAGAGTGACAAAGTAGAACCATGGCCACCAACTCTCTATGGCATAGTTGACCTGGGAGACACCACAGACCATGGGAACAAGGAGAGGGGTACCATACGCAACACCGTGGCAGACGAACGGGATACCAGGGAGGACAGCATGGTACCCAGGTAGACGGTGGGTATACCATAGTAAATGAAAAAAAAATGATACCAAGGTACATGTAGCAATACATATACCATAGAAAATAACATGGCACCAAGGTTGACAATGTGTATACCATAGGGAACAATGTTAAACCATGGTAAACGAGTATACCACAGGGAAAAACAGGTACAGAATGGGTACAATACAGAGAACAACATGGTACCCAAGTAGACAGTTTTGATACCACAGAGAACAACATGGTGGCAACATGGACAATGGGTATGCCATACAACACACCATGGTCCAAAGGCAGACAATAGGTATACCATAGCAGAGAACACGACACAAATGGTAGACATTAGGTTTGCCATGAATAACAACATGAAACCAAAGTAGACAATGGGTTAACCACACAGAACACCATGGTACCAAGGTAGACAATGGGTGTACCATAAAAAACACCATAGTACAAGTACACATACACCATACATGAAACCATGGTACCAAGGCAGAAAGCACGTATACCATACAGCACAATATGATTTCCAGGTACACAGTGGGCAGACCGTACAAAAGACCACAGTAACAAGGTAGACAGTGGGTATATGACAGCACATAGAAGCCAAGGGGTAAATCATCCAGTAGGTTGAGGGCGGGGACACAAAAAAATGAAGGAGGATGACAAATGCACAGAAATGACCAGATGAAAAAGGGATGCAAAGAATGAAGAAACAAGACAAGATGTGGAAAGTGGGATGGAAAAACAAGGAGCAGAGTGACACAGTGTGGACACGGAGAGAGGAGTGTAGTCAGAAAAGGAAAGAAACAAAAGAAGATCCACGTGGGGGATGTGGCGGGAGGAAGAAGAGAGAAAGTAAAGAAAAACAGACCCTTACTGATTCAAAATAAATGAAGTCTAGGAGCAATGCCCCTTTAAATCATAAAATGTCAGTCGGATCAATCAGATGGTCTGCCAATTATCAGCCTCGGTCAGAGTCCCAGCCCAAGAATCAGCCAGCCATAAAAAAGAAGGAATTCCAGGTCAAAAGAATCAATACTGGTTACCCAGAAGACTCGAGTGGCTCTATCAATATTTCAGTCGCGCCGCTCAAGAAAATGCGAAATGCATCCGGCTGTAAAATGCAGGATTTAATTCCTAATGATGTCAGAGTGACCGAGATAATTCACGACACCCTCTCTTTTTTCTCCTTTCATTTTCTTCTTTTTTGGTGGGGGGGGCCTGTTGTATAATTTATCGGGAGGAGACGGACTTCAACAACTGGGCGGTTGATGAAGCTTGAACAGGGATGTGTCAAGCTATGTCAGGACCCATCGCCGATGCATGTCATGCTTGCATGATGCGGTGCAAAGGCGGGTGGCAATTATTGATGGCTGATGTGGGGTGAACTGAACCGTGGTCATTATCCGAGTCTACTTGGGGAAATAGGCAATACTTAGCGCCCCCCCCCAAAAAAACCTGCATATGCACAAAAATCGAGAATTCGGTCGGAGAAGCACACGATTCCATGTTTTAGTGTCTTTCATGTGTCCCTAAAATTTACATCCGTAAGATCCACACTTATAATAAATGAACAATAGTGATAAAGCACTTGGAAATTTTATTTTCCAAACATGGAAAATAACAGCTTCCAATGCTTCACTACAAAGCACCCACACATAGGTACACATTCAAACACCCCATGCAAAACACAAATGTACCACTAATCAGACCACATAACGGTGCACGTGAGTAAAGCCATGATGGTGAAAATTTAAGAAGAAAAAAAAAAAAGGCAGGACGGTAGGATACTTACCCACTAAGTACACCAAGAACTAAGTTAAGTACAAAGAATGAGCCCACAATGATGAGACTAACAAAGTAGACCCAGGGCCAGGGGCCTACTGCATCCGTAATCTGATCCCGGGGAAGAAGGTAGGGTGGAGACAGAAGAAGCAAGTGTTAATTTGATGTTACAGAGCTCTACTGAGAATTAACAAGTTGCAGCATTATATTCCCCAGGGAAAAAAACTTTTTGGGAATGGCAAATTCAAAACCGTAGTCTTTTGCAGAGTTAGGACTTTACAGATGCTGACCCCCAGAGGTCATTTTTCAAGATTTGTGCAACACTTCTCGTCACATCGCCGCTTCTTAAAAACTCTTGGACTACATGTATGGAGGTGTGACACTGGCAACAGTGCCCAGCCAAGGCCCACAGCAATGGCCACTCGAGAGCTCCACGAGAGTTAATTACATATAACGGGTTTTGCCCTTAACCAACATATATTAATAAGCACTGTATGCTCAGTGCTTGTCCGAGAGCTTGCGAAAAAATCTCACAAGCTTACTCGGGTGGAACTCGAACCCACGACCTCCTGCTTACCAGTGCAGATGTCTCAACCAGTCGACCAACGAGCTTGCCGGGGTCGGTTGGCCGGTCTGAGTCAAATGAAGCAGCGGGTACCACGAACTATTTTCAAGATGTATTTATTTTTTAAAAAAATGCATCTTGAAAATAGCTCCACAAGAGCTCAATCTCTATGGACTACATGTAGTTTGAGCCTGTGAGTGCGTGCACAAATTTGATGGGAATTACTCAAGCATAGGGATGAGAATAGACGTTACCCATCATCACATGTAGAATCGGCCAGAACGTATTTGAACATCCCCTGCCTTATGACACAGGAAATCCCTGCAAAGCCTGCACATCAACAGTGATGGAACTGTGGTTAAGACAGTGTGGTCAGGCTTTCGACAACGGAAAACAACGGAAAACAATCAGACTGTATGGGGGGAGGGAAAGATGCTGAAAATGCCCTAGTACAAAAAAAAGATGCTGAAAATGCCCTAGTACAAAAAAAAGATGCTGAAAATGCCCTAGTACTTACAAAAGGACTTAGGCTTGAGGTCGAGTTCCTCACAGCAAATGTAAAGCTGCATCCTCTTTTTTTGGTTTTTTTCCCATCCCCTGGACAAGTTTTTTCCCCTTTGCACAGCCTGATGGACCATTTTCATAATTCAAACAAAAAATGCATAGGATACACACAGGCCTGCTATTAAAGCTGTGTGGCACCATCAGACAATAAGACAAATTAATGTATTGCCAGTCAACAGTAAGACAAAAGGTCAGCAGCTTTGAGACCCACACAGGCACATAAATGGCTTCAGTCATACAGTAATTTGTACTAATGAGCCAATTTTTTTAGGGGGGGTAACATTTGACAATTTCATGAGGTAAGCTTTATGGCCTTTCCGAGGGGTGGGTCTGATTTCGGCGCTTTTTTTTTTCTCATGAAACAAAGTTTGTCAGGGGATGGCCCCCACTGAAACCCCCCAACATCTGCCAACGAATATACATGTGTATGTCTGTTTTCTCTAAACGACAGAAGGAGCCAAAATAAGAATCCCATTTGCTGATTCATACGACAACCACACAATATTTATACCTCGTCCACACAGCAAATCTGTTCATATGGAGATGATATCAATTAGTACACCCTACACGCTGCACTCATCTAACACGAGTGACCTTTGTTGTCTATTTTAGGTAAGCAGCCGGCGGCAATTTATTCACATACATGCACTTTCTTTGAAAAAAGAGGTTATTTTAATACAAATCTGTACACATCTGTCTTTCTCAAAATTCATCTGCATACAACATTTTCCGTTGCTACAAAGAAGATCCGATGGTGGGTTAATCCCTTCTATAAAAAGAGATCTTCCTGCAGGAATAAAAATCTGAAGTCTGCTTTTTTCTGGAGCAAATCCATTTGAATTCTTGTTGATTTTGCGTTCGGTCTCCGATCACACGTGGGATGTCCAAACATGACCAATAATCAAATGTCAAGTGAAAGCCCGTTATCGTTCAGGGAAGTGAGTGGCAACTTAAAATTAAAGCTGAAAACAGCGAGCGAAAAGCTGAAATGTAAAAAGTTCTCATACTTTTATACAGCCCAGGTGTACAAAAAAGCTGAAATTCAGGGTCAACATCTACAAAAAAAAGCTGAATCAGCTAAAAAGCTGAATTCTCACACCCCTGATCATTCCAAAGAGAACCCAAGTTACATGTATCAGTAACAGTGAAACATTTAAGAGTGACTTTCAATGAGTTGGTTTCTTTTTTCTTACGAAGCTTTACTCAGGATCAAAACCGGATTGAAAGAGTCAGCTTTTGCCAGAGTCTGGTTTGGGAAAAGGCCAGAAATTCTCTCACTTGACGATTTACTTCACTGCTGCTGCAACTTAAATAGCATCAATGAATGACGATAACACACGGCATAAATCAATGTTACAGCAATTTTATAACCACAATGAAGTGAAAGTTGTGTCAAACATTCCATTAAAAAGTGCTATATTTTTAACAGAACTACTTTACTGCTGGTTTGCTTTTTTTTGGCAAATTGCTTTTGTATTCCCCAGCGTTCCCACATTTCTTATCGGCCATATTTCTTCTTCATTAAAACTTTCTCCTGTCATCCCCCCTACCCCATTACCGATTTTCCCTTACTGTGTGGCAAAAATGGAATGATAGGGTTCGGCACGTCTATATGCCCCGTGGCAGTCAACACGATCATTAGAGCCTCCAAGAGGGGCAAAAAAGAATATGGCATTTATTTCCAATTCTGCGTTTGGGACGATCGACTAATGTTTGCTTTCCAATGACGTCAGCCGTTGTTGTAATGGTGTTTTTCTGCAGTTCCTCGCTTCTAAGTATCACAGATAACAGCTCACTTGATTGATCTCTAAATGGCACTTTTGCTGAATCTAACGCAATAATGTGATCTACAATGCATGTTTGTGAATAGCTTCATGGTATGATGGTAGTAATTATTCAAATTGGAAATGCAATTGCCGAGGCCAGCTGGTAGAAAAAAATTCTCTTTAAAACGTAAGCGTAATTAGTTTCTGGGCAACATGCTCATGCTGTAACATGCAATAAGAAAATCAATTATCAACAATTACCCTTTTTCCCCCCCAAACAGAAATTCGATGGAAATCAAAACAAAAATGTAAGCCCTCTCTCTATGTAATAATGAACCTTCTGCATCTGTCAACATGCCTGGCCTATCCTTTGCAAAAAGCCCAATGTTGACACATTAATGATCTCTGAGGGACTGCTAATACAGGGGACGATGGCAGAGGAGCAAACATTAGCTTCAGGAGGGGGGGACGAGAAAAGGCAAGGTGCTGATGAAAATTACTAATGAGGCAAAATCCAGATGGACAAACAGGGGGGCGACACAAGCAGGGGAGAAATTGTGGGGACAGGGGTGTTACCGTGACAGATGTTGACCCATCAGTAATAACCCCAATGTGCTGTCCAGGGGGCCCGTGCATGTATAAACCTGAACTCTACTATTATGAGAAGAAATGTGTGTTGAAAAGCAGTTACGTGGGAACAAATTGGTGATGGGCAGATATATTCAGCTCCAAACTCGGTCCAGAATTTTCCAAACCCCAAAGAAATTGTCCCCTCAACGTAAGGATAAGGCTCAGGCAGCCGATTTCAAACGGCTTTCTAGACTGATACCCAGCTCCTTACAGTCTCCAGACATCATTTGGACGTCGAAAATAGGGTTGCGGGCAATGAATTCTGAAGAATTCCTCCCGGTGTATAATAACGAGGAACATGTATAAGCTCCCATAATGCAATGCGTGGACAGTGTCTATTGATCACTTTGCATTGTCCTCTACAGCAGTGAACACAAATTCAGTCTGAACTGCCCTTTCATGCGATAACTGAGCAAGATAATTACTGATCTGAAGTTAGTTGGCAAAAGACATGGTCATAAACATTTAGCGAGAAGACAAATTACAACATTGTGATGAACAAGGGCTAACCATGAACTCAGTATTGTGAATTACGCACTGCAGTACGTAAAGTACACGGAGGTACAATCAATGCTATCAGTTTAACAAGTACAGTTTTAACGTTCGAAATTCAACCGAAAGGGCCAATCAGATGGGTTAAATACATTGCACCAGTATGGTTCAATGTTTTCCAATAGTTCAAGTATATCCCTGCAAGATCAGAACATTATTAAATGATTTTTACCATACTTGTTCTTTAGTATTTATTTTGGGGGGGGGTTGTTTTTGGTTTTCCTTTAGAAATCTGATTTAATGGATGAAAATTACCCCGTGATGGAGCACCGTCTTGGCTGGACAACGTCACACAGTGACGTGCCTGGTATGAAAACTATGCTGATAGATGAGATTGGGCATTCACAGTGCATACAGCCAGATATGTGGGCAACACAGAGCATCTCACATTATTGGAATGTGCTTGGTACACGGGAAAGGATGGATAAAAAGTGCAGCGACGCCGTCCGCGCCTGGCCATCGACATCTGACGACGGGGATTAAAAGATGAGGTTTTGATTGAGAGGCTCGGGAAGCCGGAGACGAGGATACCGGGTACATGATGAAGAGTGGCTAAGCATTTGCGAGACATTACAGCTGTAGCCAAAAGATGTATCATGTAAGGCATGTGGTGAAGCACTTGGGCGCAATGCATTACAGCTTGTTGGGAGGCAAAGTTCACTCAGTACAATGGTACCGTTTCTCAGGGCGGCCGAGAGGACCGTGCCCTGCCAATGCCTCGTGGCATGAGCTGAGCACGTGAATGAGCGAGGGCACATTGTTGCCTAAGCAGCAACATCGAATGGGCATGACGCACATGTTTGCACATGTGTAGTGCAGAGGGCACAATCTGAATGTGAGCAAGTTAACAAACGTCAGCGCGGGGTCAGCTCAGCCTTGCTCTTTGACATCGGTGGGGGCTTTCGGTGCAAAAGAGATCTGCAACAAGTTCACGGTACAGTCGTAAAGTGTACACGGTGACCAACCAAACGATACTCTGTGGGATCACGTTGCTTTTCTTCACCCGTCATGCTTCAGCCATCCTGCAAATTAAGCACATCTATTGTTTCCACGATCCCGGGCACAATCCATCAAAAAAAAAGTAATACCTGGACGGCCTGATACCAAAAACCATGATCTGTTCAGGAAAGGGCAGACTTTGTTGTCTGTACTCACATTATACAGCACGTCCGTCCAGCCCTCCATGGTGATGCACTGGAACACCGTCAGCATGGCCTGACCGATGTTGTCGAAGTTGGTGATGCCCTCATTGGGACCCTCCCAGTATTCGTCGCAGAAAGCGTCCTCCCGCAGCTCGCTGCAATTGAAGCCCCGGTCCCCACAGGGGTGGGGTTCCTCCTCGACGTGCCTCCCTGAGAGAGGAAGAAGGGGGATGGGGGAGGGACAAGGGATTGGTCACATAAAGCAATCCAGACTTCTGAGGTCCTCAGACATCAGTCCCCAGTCTAAGTCCCCAGTTACATGTACAGTTATTTTTTTGTAATACAAGTGTTCCGGAGGTCACAGGCTCGCATCCCATTCCAGTCCATCTCTCAGATCACCTTTATAAATTTAAAAAAATTATAATATGTCCACATTTCTGTTCCATGCCACAAGTCACTCCAATTTCAATGACAGGAACTTGGCACAGATATCCCTCATGTAGCTTTGGACATTTTCAAGAGGAGTGTGCAGCTTCAGATGAAGTTAATGATGGAGGAATGCCGAGATTTTGGTTTAAAAAAAAAAGGCTTCAGAATCAACGCATGCAGTGTTCGTCACGGACAGGAGTGCTGTGTGAAGATTACTGTCCACCAGACACAGATGGTCTTCAGAATTACTGGAAATTAAAGGAAGGGGCTATTCCAGAACCAAATTTCTTGAGGGAGGGGGGGACAAAATTGTTTTTGGGGGTCCCAAAATTTGGAATTCTTTTCTTCAACCTTTGATGGTCTTTCTGAGGGGTGATGAGAAAGTGCGATTGGGAGGAAGGGACGTAAAGTAGTCCCCTAAAATTGCTTATTTCTCTTTTCTTTTTCAAACAAAGAACATCAACAACATTTGCTCTAGGTGGACATTGCCCCTATTGACCCATTTCTCCCCTCTAGATTTACCAAGACAATTTAAAAAAAAGAGTAACAAGTGACGAAAGTTGTAACACTTACGCACACCATCCTCCACTATCCAACAGGTTCGGTGCAATTTGCCAATGAACAACTCTAGTCCAATCACAGCATAGATAAGGATAACAAAGATTACTAGGAGAGCTATGTGCAGCAGTGGCACCATGGCACGAACAATGGAGTTCAGGACCACCTGTAAACCTGGGAGGACAATTGATAATAATTGTAGTGCTTTTGCATTTATCACGTTAGAGCGCTGAATAATTATTACCCCATTCATCGGGCAAGACCGGTGGCAAGACATTAATATCAGTGCCCCAGTTGTCTCTGCACTTGCATGCATCGTTGGATGCACCTGGGTGCAGAGAGGCAAGTCGGGGTAAAACATGTTGGCAGCTGCTGGATTTGAACCTCTGACCTTTGATCAGGAGTTACTACACCTCATACATGCGTTCGGGAGATGTCATCCCGGTGAGTATCCACCCCGTTTTTTTCTGGTAACACCCATAAGTTCCCTCTAGAACCCGCCTCATGGACAAGTACAGTGTGGCAAGCAATATTTATGGAACCACTCTATTTTTGTAGTCTCGTAACTACTGCAGCAAAGACACATAATAATGTGCTGGCACCAGACTATTTCAACCCTGTTGCCAAGTTTGACACAGCGAACTTTGCATGCAGCTCTGAAACAACAATGGTGTCTACGATTAGGTTACTAAATTTCAACCATTTTATGAGTTGAATATTTATGAGGTATAGTAGAACAAATACGGCATGGTTTTTTTCTGGAAAGTAGTGAGAATTACTGGTCCCGAGGTACAGGTCAGCTTGACTACCTCCCAATGCCAAGAATGACCACACACTGAAATCTCAGAGGCAGAGGGCGGGCCACTGCCTGGTTATCTCCAGCAATGGCTCACAGTGACGACCAATGGTTGTGACAGTGGCTCGTGATAGCTGGCAATGGCTGACAGCAGTCCAGACATTGCTAGCCATGCCTTACACTGTGGCAGCTCAAAATGGCTCAAACAGCACGTTCCCACTTAAATTGGGAAAAGGGGGATCTTGATCCAGCGTTTTGGTGTGATCGTTATCTTACTGCAACGAAACCGCAGGTCGCGTTCCCACTAGCGCTTGATCCACCTTTTCGGATGGAAATGTCGAGCCCGAAAGGTCACTGAGTTCGGAATTGTGCATGTGCTAGCTTGCTGAGCGCGCAATCTGTGGCAGTGTGGCGTGCTGGGGCAGCATGCCTGTGACCCTGCGGTGTTTTGGGCGCGGAGTTCTACTGACGTGACGACCTTGAATCGGACCGGATGTTTAGCCTAGTATCTTGTCTCTTCAAACTTTGCTTCCGTTTTTGATGCTCTGTCACACGCAGTGGGCTATACGCTAACACGGAATTAGTTTTTGATGGAAAGCAAGTGAAATTACACAAATGAAAAAGGTTAAGAAACGGACGAATGCGCAACGAAAATTGTGAAAGGGCAAGGTACACATCGCGGCATGCATGCATTGTGCATGCGTGGTGACACATTTTGCTAGCCCGCAGTTCAGCAGTTGTTGATTGTGAATGCTGTGCACGTTAAAAATTTCACATGAGCTACATGCCAAAAAACGTATTTCTTTGTTCATCAGACTGCAAAAGTTTCATGCCACTCGTGCACGAACGGATGTTGACAGGTCAAATTGCTGGATCAGATCCACCTTTTGCGTTCCCATCTGATCGTGATCCGCCAATTGCAGGATCTGATCCACCAATTGGGGGATCTGATCCGGCAATTTGGCAAAAGGTGAATCAGATCCCCCAATTGGTGGATCAAGTGGGAACGGGCTGAAAGTGGCTACGGCTCATTATCCATTTCCACAGATAGTGGCTCTGTGAGTATCTCGTAAACTGCTTTCTCATGCACAGCCTCATAGTGGTTCACAGAGGCTAGCAATAGCTAAGAACACGCAGTTCCCACACAACAGCAAACCCATCAGAGTAGTCTGTGAGTAAGCATTAACACCGTACTCTATGTCATGGCTACTAGGCACTGCCTTTTAACAATAATTAATGACTCTCGGCCTGTGGCTCAAGTTCATCTGCTTCCTTACAAGTTGCAAGTCGAATCTGAACCCTGCCCTTGAATAGGGTCCTCAGGAAAGCCACTTGACTTCCACTCAACATCACTCTCTACTCAGAGGTATGAGGGCAAGTGTGTGGGTACTAGGAGGCCTACTATCCAAGGGGAACACAAATATTTCCAGCTATCTGATGCCAAGAAATTGGCATTTCAAAATAACCAGATCCTCTTTCCTTTTCTATCATGGCTCACACGTTTAGTCTGCAGGCTTGGGGCTAAATTCTTGGACTCTCCCTTCAAAGAAGCAATGCTCAGTAAGAAGAAATTTGTATCTCGGAGTCCAATTACCCTTAAGGATAGAAGATCTTTTTTCCTCTTTTTACGAGTGCCATCAGCAGTAAAGAGCCCATCTATATGCCCATCTATCTGAATTTCTGCAAGGGAAGGAATAATTCTTTAATAAAATGGATTTAACAAGCGGAGGGTCGTTGTTGTGTTGATGACTAACCCTAGGGCCGTGTCCCCAAGGGTAAAGAGCGGTCGTTAAAACAAGACAGAAAAAAACGAAGGGCTCAAATACTTACTAGGCACCCCTGAGACCAGCCGGAGTGGTCGTAAGACGCGGAAGGCCCGTAGCGCTTTCACATCAAAGCCTGCTATCTGCTGGGCGGTGTGGGAAAGTATTGTGCTGACTACCCTGTTATGGTCGGGGACAGGTAATAAGGGGAACATTACAATTTGACTCAACGCAACATGGCACATGCACAAGCCAATTCTTCCGGTTGAAGACGACTTCGTTAGCGGTTAAGAGCAGAAGGAAAGACGTTAAGTAGAAAGACGGAAATCACTCGGGAGGTGTTTTTGGTTCTCTTTGTTCCATGTTTCCTCATACAGTGTTTTGTTCATGATTTTTAGTTTCAGCCTTTGCATTAGGGCGTTGACCAGAAGCCAACATGATTTAAATACCATTAACCCCATGTGCTTGCTTTTGTGATCAAAAGGCCACAAAATCAGTGTCAAAAGCATCTCAGGAACACTTTTTCTTCCAGTGACAATTTATCTGTAAAAAAGTACCTAACTTCAGTCAACCGTATGCAGTTACTAGTATACTAGCCACCATACGGAGATATTAAATGCGAATGGTGCCCTCAGTGGGTCATGTACTGATAGCCAATAGCATTCAAAGGATGTCAGGATGGCAGAAGTCTAGGTTCCTGATCTACATGTACTCACCCAATAATTACTATAATAAAGTCTAGGAAGTTCCAGGCATTTCTTAGATACGCCCCTGAGTGAAAGAGGAACCCCATGGCAACAATCTTCAGCATGGCTTCTAACGTGAAGATGAACAGGAAGATATACTCCACATTTTCCTGAAATGAAAGAGACACAAAGATTGCCATAAATTAGTGTTTCGCAACAAACAAGACACAATGACACCGACAAAACAACCTACTTACTGTGCACGGATATTGTGAACTATTGTCTTCTTAGGAAAAGAACATTATTTACAAAATATGAAATAAATTTGACGGAGCAACAGAGCGTGCTTGTTTCAGGGTTTTTTTCACAGCGTTTGACTTCATCCCAAAATGTTTTGAAGAGCACCGAGACTGACGTTTAGAGGTGCCAGGTTCTGTCTCCCGTTCGTACACGTCAAAATATCATCTTAGAGAACAATCCTAATTCACAACAAACAGATTTTCTTGCAAAGCAACTCAAGAAGACATCAGGGACCAGACTGCAAAATAGTTTGATCTACAATAGGTCAAGAATTGCCAGGGTGATGCGACCATGCAATACAACTAGACATATGTAAGTCTACAGAATGCCGGTAATAGGCACAAAACCACAGAAATGAAGACGATCCGCCTCAAGCAGAAGCACCCCCTCTATAGTTGAAAAGAGCCACACTGGTTGGGAGTGTTCAATTGCAACCATGACGCAAGCATTTCCTAGTTTGTTCGTGAACCGGTGAAGTTTAATTCCAATCAAAGGAGCCTCCATTGCTCAGAAAAATGCCCTCTCTCGGTCCAGCCCAAGGCCCACGGGCAATCAGCCGAATTGAACGTATCTGCGAGTATGCTTAATGCTTGAATTTGTCTGAGTTGCATGCAGCCTTCCCTTAAAATCGATCCAATATCAGTTATTTGACAGCTTCAAAGACAATGCCAAAAATATCTATGATGAGAGAAAAGAAACAAATACGCCAAAAAATTAAATATCCAATACATTTTCAACACATTTCAAGGACAGAATTATCCAACCGTACATAAAAAGCCTCAACCTGAACAAAATTTTCCTGTGGTTACAAACCGCCTGATTCTAACGTCTCTCCAAAAGGAGCAGACTCACCACCGCTATGACATTTTCTTCAAGTTTTTCATCTCTGATTTTACAATTTCTTTTCCCATCCCCGGACCAGGATGCAGCATTTTTTCCTTTAATATTTTGAATATCATTGTTGTAGTTGGGATGTCTTAACATCAACTCTTGGCCCAAACAATGGTCAGCGACAGTGGCTATAAATGACACCACTAGCTCAACGTAACCAAGTTCACTCAGAATACAAGGAAACTTGTTTAATAAGCCATTAAGCTGATAAATTAATACAATTTTTCTCTGGTTAGTAAATATTTGCAGGTGCTTCTGTATATTCTTTGGACACTTCCTCTGACTTGCTGCAGTCTTAATTTCGCAGAGGGAGATCAGAAGGAAGATCATACCCTCCACTGGCTGTGTTTATGAATCTGAAGTCTTCACCGTCGTCGACCATACACTAGCCATTTTGAAAGGGCAGGGTGACTTGCTTTTTTGTTTTTGGCAATTAGAGCTGTATCAAGTGCGGCTAGTCTGGTATGTCGGGTCAGCTTCCACACGGCCAAATCTCACAAGCCATCAATTTAATCAATCAAGGTCCTGGGGAAGAGGGGGGAGGAGAGAGAGAAATGGGGGAGGTAATACTAGGGCATGGTCAGGGAACTAACAAACCGAGCGTGCCACAACTCAAACCGCACCATACCCTTTGCCTCACCTCCCTGCATCAAATTAAACCATCACCTGCCAGAACGCACGGCCAACCGTGCTCACATCTTGATTAGCCGCAATGGGCTTGTAGGCCCATCTTATATGACATACCCCGCCAAAGAAAAAGATAAAGTGTACGAATCTGTCAGCTAAGTTCCAGGCACTTAAAATCAATCAGCTCGATAAATGGTGGCATTGTCGGTGGCAAATTTGACCGAACCAGCGAGAGACAGGCCAACCATGAATCAGCCTACCAGTCCATTTGGTGATTAAAAATGCCACTAACCAGCTCACACTGCGAAAGTTTATAAAAAATCAATCACAGAAAAAGGTGGAGTTTAAAAATAGGATACTCAAGTTACATGGAACAATACATTTATATTGGGAACTCAACAGACATAACAATCACTGCATTTTCTGAAAGACAAAGATGACGGATTGAAATCTACTATTTTAAGAGAATGGTACAATGTTAGTATATTGATTATTATGCTTATTATCATAACTTTCCATAAAGATATCAAACAGTATTGAAAATGTGCAACAGCTAAGATTTTGTAAAATTCCTTGCTTGCTAAAAAAAAATGCCGGGGGGGGAAGGGGAAAAACAAGTTATTTGGCGGAGATTGGTGCTTATGTTTGTCGTCTGATGTGTACAGAGGGTAGCAGACTGCTTGTGTCCCTGAGCTGGGTTATTTGCAGCATTTGCATTTCCTTCCCCTACCCAGAAGCAGGGGAGGTACCAGACTCAAAAACAACTACAGCCGAACCAGAAAGAATATGAAATGTAAAAGAATTATAAAAATAGCCGGATATCTCGGTGTGAGCCTTCTAGGAAAACCCCAAGGCAGAAGTATATTTTGGTGAGAAGGTAAACTTCATCGAAGCAAGTTGATTCTGGACCAGAAAGGCCGGGAAAATCTGAGCAAGCTTGATGCCATGAGACGTTTGCACTGAAATTAGATCGAGTTGAAATGTGCTCAACTGTTGCAAATTCGCAAAAGTTGAATATTTGATTTGACATCACATGAATTGCACATGTGTTTGCTTTTGCAACAAGCATGAATCGTGATGCTGCAAGATCCAAACAATCTCTGCCATGGATACGAACCAGATCCTGTCACTTTGTGGTCAAGGAAACTGCATAACCATGGCGGATGCATTCCAGGAACAGTTCTCAGCCTTACATTATGTACGCACTTCAACCCTGCACTGTAAAAAAAGCAACAGTACCATTTCTGGGTACTTTTATGATCATCATTCTAGTGTCCTAACAAGCCACAAACTGTGGATTCCAAGGCCTCAAGCATTTTTCCTGCTCCTGCTAATGACCTCACAACGGTCAGCAACAAGCGTAAAAGGACCATTAACAGACCATCCTTCAGAACGGATGCAGACTGACAACGCCATCTATCAACAACTGTTGCCCGGAGTACAGACCCTGCACCTCACGGTCCCGTGATGCAGCCCGAGGTACAAGTGCGGCAGTGTTCACGACTTTACACCTGCTTGCGGCAAAGCGGTAAAACAAACGGCATGAGACCGACAGTTGCCAGTGCCCACCTTTCGGCAATACAGCAACTGCTATGAGATTACCACTTACAGGGACTTGATACCCTTATCTACTGGCGGTGGTGTGACCATATGATCACGGCAATCATGCAACGATAACGTGCATAAGTCACTTCCATAATTTTTTACCAGGAGAAAGAGCAGACAGACTATCAAACATCAATACCAATTTAGGCTTGGAGCAATTACTTTATATGCTGGCAATCTTCACCCACGATCCGACACCGGATATCTGTCTATCCTTTACCCCTGACAGAGGATGCCATGTTTATAACACTTGCAAATCAGAATCTGACAGTGAATATGCGTATGCCAGCTTTGAGACTGTGAATCCAAACTATACTCAAAGACAGTAAATAGACTGGGCTGAACATGAATTGTGGGACTGCAAATAGCCACAGGAGAAATGGCAAACCTGACACTGCGAATTACTGTCACATTGAAAGTGAACCTTTCACTATGACACTTTTGCAAAATGCAATCAAATGGAAGAATTCTAAAGAAAAAAAAATAAGTGTACTGGTAGCTGCAATGAAGTTTTCTTAGAACCAAATTTTCAGCAACTTTGTTCTCGTCACCAATATATGAAAACTTGTTACATTTCTATGGTTAAATGCATTGAAAAGTGCACTTTTTTAACATCCATATTTAGTAATGCTTTCCAGGACAACCGACGGTGCACTTTCTAAGATGTTATCCAGGGGAGGCATAATAGCTCAGTACATAGGTATTTCTGTTCAAATTGTGAACCCAGAATATTTACAAACTGATAATAATTCTGAGCAAGGGATAGATACGTGCTTACCGCTATGCACATGACCAACCATGCACCAGCAAAGAAGAAAAAAGTTAGTCCTGAAAATCTGCAAGTCAGGTTGACTGAGACACAAAGGTGGTGAATTTTGGAGGTTTGTATTTAAAACCAAGTGCAGGTACCCTTTAAGAACTTGTGCAAGTCCGTGTTAAAAGAAGCATTCTGTGAAGCACACAAGGCTCTCCACACACTGTGGAACAGGCACTAGTCAGGTGAAATTGAAGCAGGATTTGCAAAGCAGGATTTCACTTTATGCCTGGGATGAACTTGTCAAATCCTGTCAACGCAACACTCGCAACACGCCCAACACGCCAGAGAGAGAGAGACGTATTAAAGCCAGGCATGTTCTCAGCTTGACCAAACTGTAAGGTACTGTGCACCACTACAGTCAATCTACATCTAGCATCTGCCATGCATACAATCACCTCTGGTAGGCATACGTGTAAATGTAGTCAGGGCACTATCTCTGAAATGTATACAAATGCGATATCTGTTCTACAGTGAAAACGAGGTTGAGTGGTATCAAATTCTTACGCCATTGAAAAATCTTGATAGAGGGCAAATAATTTTTGTAAGTGCAAGGAAGATATAGTGCCAGTATGTCTGAAATCTGACCAGTTCTGCAAAATGAAACTTTGGGACACCTTTCCTTGTTAGTTTTTCATGTTTAAAGTAAAGAACATATTCAGTTCTTCACTGGCCTTTTACTCATTTTGACGTACTGAAGAAAGTGACCATTGTGTGCTTGAACATATTGACTGTCCAGTCTCCTATTAAATGAACAAGTATATGAACCTGTCACTGCACTTACAGCCTGTAGCTCATCAAATAAAGTTGTTTTTCTAAGTTTTTTTGTTAGAACAGACCATCTTTGGGGAATTTTGGAGTGCTCTTTAGTCAGGCTACTTTGCAAAACAGAATTCAATTTTTTTTAATTTTTCTTTTACAATCGCTAATCTTATAACAAAAAAATCAGGCCGAGGTGTCTTAGCAATCCACACAGTAGGTACATTTCCCATTTGATAAATGCTCCCAATTTCAATTGATCATCCAGAAATCAAGACAGTATTTTTCCCAAATTCAATTGATCTGTGTTTTTTTTCCATCATTGCAAATTTTGCTTCAACTAATGAAAATTTCAATGTTCGTGTCTACCCTCAACTTAAGAAGCCCGCACTCAGCAGTCACCTTGCTGACAAATCTCTCCAAGCCGTCAAATAATTGATTCAGATGTCGCCTTCCGACATTCAGAATCCGGATTTGGGGAAATGTGACCTCGATCGTTATTCCCTCTTTCATCGCAAGAACTGATTCCCTGAAGGTGTAGAAGGGAGTTACAGTTCCACAACAAAAATCAAATTCAAATACATTCAAATCAAATGCAGTTATTTTTTTCTTCCCTTCTTTTTTCTTAGTTTGCAATAGAGGAAGGGGCACACAGCAAGCACGTGCCAGTCTCCACAAACCTGAGCAAAAGGAGTGCACACACCCCTCAGTTTGAGTGCACGGTTAAAACAGTAACAACTGCAGTGTTGACATTGAGGAAAATGTCATGTCATGTCTGGGCTACCCAGCAAGGCCGTTTGAGCTAAAGTGAGTTCTTTCAGTGGTCCAATGTTCAAATCCCAAAACTGTCAATTCTTTTTGTTCAAGCAAACAACACAAAATATACATGCAGAGACGCATTTTATTTCACATCAATGAAATAGTACAATGTTCCTGTAACAAACACTCCAAGAACCCTTTTAAAATTTATCAATGAGAACACTATAAAAAAAAAAAAACACTCCCATATGTCCTCACCAATATAACGCACAAAACTAGAGGGGGTTGACACGACCCGTATATTGATCTCCTGAAAAGATGCCCCGGCCAGCACCGGGAAATCCCATCAATTTAGGAACGCACTCAACATCAGAAATCAATGACTCCGAAAAACAAATGCAACAAACCCGTGAAAACGCCTACACACCTCATGCCGCAGATGGCTTTTAAATGGTGAACAAAGAGACATCTATTTTCACATTTTATTTTTAGACGAGGAGAGGGGGGAGAGAATGAAACAGGCTCTAATCCGATTTGGATGGAGGGACGGCTGCCAAGGCTTCGAGAAATGGGGTGGATGCCGGTGATTGATCAAAGACCAAGAGTGGCCTCACAGGCAAAGGGTTTAATTAATCTTGCCAGGAGTATCCGAGAGCAAGCTCTCTCATCTGACGGAATGCAAAACGGACAAGTTCGCCTGCACTTTGGTCACGAGCTCAGCACCAGTGCTGACCGTTGATGCAGTTGGGCATGTTCCCAGTTGATCCCATTTTTAAAAAATTTATGTAATGAAAGTCCAGGTAATGGTGCTGGGTACACACGCGTACATCAGTGATATGCTACACTTCGACACAAGAGGGGACTAGACGTGTCATTCTACCTAGTTCACACTAAACGTATCTCAGCAGTCTGCACTCTGTGTGGAACTATCAGTGGAGACATCTACAATGAAATTATGGAATAGTGATGTTGGTAAACATATGTGCCATTCCGTCTCCACCTTGTTTTTCCGATCCACAAAACAGAATTCAAGCAAATAAAAAACTCTGGCCCCCTTTTCTCTCTTTCGCAAATATTCAAATATTTAGTTTCCTGATGGCCTGAGGGAGGATTTAGCATTTTAGATATGTTTAGTGTGTCTATTCCTGTCTCTTCAATTTTTTTTTAAAGACATTTCCCAACCTGAGTGGCTGGATGGAGTGGTAGAAATCAATCCCAAATAAATTATGCTCCAATCGTAAACTCAAACCACGGCATCAATAAACAAAGTCTGCTGTGGGTTTCCAGTAACTGTAATCATGACATTTATGGGCAGTCAGTAACTGCCGCACCATGATTTCCCATTCACGACCAAGCCTGTGGTTCAATTTAATGAAACCTCTCATTTCCCACACCGTTCTGCCCAGTGACACGAAGTACCAAATCGCTCGCTATTGTGACCGATAATCTCCTGTTCTCAGATGTCACTGTTTGGTTTTCATCCTTTGCTCCCCCCCCCAACCAGGTTTTGAGCCGAGGTATCTGGACGAAATTCCTCGGCACACTGGACCCAATCAATTCCGAGAAATGCGCATCACGGCTAATCAGCTTCGAGCAGTGCATCTTCCCAAGATGAATCTCTCCCTGCTTCATGGAGTCACATTCCTCAGGTCAGCGACTCCTCACCAGCGCTTCCGGAAGAGGTCGTCATTCGACCGACCCACATCTACAGTTCCAAAGATCGACATATACATGTATCTGGACATTAAACTGAAACCTCTTGGCAACTGGATGGCAAGGAGTAACGGGGAAATTCCAAAGCACAAAATCAGATGTGCTCGTGTCCAAAACTAACCATAATGTACCAACTGCCGCCACTGTAGGCTGTATTCATGTGTAGCCAGGGTGATCCATTGATCAATAGCAAAACAGAATATGCATACATGTTCGTGCTTATGCGGGTAATTCCAGAAATTATGGGTCCAAAAGTGTGCCATTTTCGTGTCCCTGTTACATCCGACCTTTGTCATTTGACATGGAAATACATGTCCCACCGGAATTGTTTTGTTTTCAAACTATTACTATTTGTATGGCTAGTAATTTGCATTAATCCATCACTCTTGGAAATTAGAAAATGTGTTCTGAACTTACAAAAATCGTATGTCAGATGTGACAGGGACATGAACAAAATGAACCCCTAATTTCTGGAATTACCAATGTTTAAACAAATAAATGTCTAGATGTTACTACAGTGTATAGTCATGGGAAATTAATTCGTGATTTCACCATAATTCATCCAAAGGTTTGTGACCATTTTACATCTATCCAAACTGTATAACTGGATGCTTGTACCAGACTTGCTTGCAGAAGAATGAATGTGACGTCGGCTCACCCACAATGTTGGATTTTGGAGAACTCTAATTGATTCTCAGCCAGAACACGGAGCTATTAAACACAAGGAGTCAGCACATACAGAGATCAAAAGGGTCAAGGATGGCCACCGCCAGCACTGCACGTGCTGCAAGGACAAAACAAATTCTGTGCCGCTTGCGGGCTACAAGGAATGCTCTGAGTTGCATTTGCAAAGGATCGTGGGTATCGAGCATGCGTGTCCGTAACACTTCCGCATGTTCAACATGGCCGCCTTGAGATGGAAACCATCGTCATCGGAGACTTAAATATCGATAATTTTAGTGATTGTTGTGATTTTCCAATGACAATGAAAGTTTGGTTACGTCTTCACATCCCCAAAATATCTTTCTTAACAATGAACAGAATTCCTAATACAAATTCTCCGAAAAATGCGCACAAGAAAACTGAGAGAATGTAGCTGGTCCAGAGATAAACAAAGAAACACGCAAAAACATGGGAAGATTCGTTGTCCTTTCTGTCATTGTCCACAACTGTCTCGGCATGAAAGCTCACCACGTTGTCAAATGCATTCCTGCGGCATGTTTCCACCTTCTTTTAACCGTAGGAACCACTAGGATTGCGACTTATGATATAAATATTGCAGTTCATATTTGGGGTATTTGTTCTCTACGGCCGGAACCGCAAAATGGCATTAACGGGCTTTAAAAATGTCCGAATTTTGCCAAATAACCACCGCTGATTTGGAATTTTCGAGCGCATCTACGGGGAGATCACTCGCTTACTCCTGAGGACTACTGAACAGAACTGCGCATCTTCTTTTCCACCATTTATTTACACCAGTACGCCGCAGCAAAACATGGCGAGTCTGTGGGTTACCAGCCTCCTGGCGGTGGTGATCACTGTGTACAAAGAATTTCTAGGGTATTCAACACTGGAGCTGGAGACCGACAGGAGCAGTTAATCGGATTACGTTCTGTAGGGACTTCGTTCTAACTCCTTGTGTCTGATAGCTCCATGGCCAGAATACCCGAAAGTTTTAGAGTAAAAGTGACTGACAAATTTTTTCCACAAGTTGTTTAAATTTGGCAACTCCAGCAATGACGAGCCACAGTCTCAGACAAAAATTCTGATTCAGACATGGACCTGTTGAGTGGACAATTTTCTACTGGCAGAGCCTCTGTCCATTTTACAAAGACTGTGAGCAGTCGCTGAGCACACTTTTGTGCTGAGACAAAATATGTAGGGCAAATTTCTGCTGGTATTACCTGCTAAGCTGATTTTTTTTTTTTTGGCTTGGCAAAATTTCAGTGTTCTGTGGCTCTTTCAAATTGGACAAAGGTCAGCCCAATCTTCTGTTTCAGCTTCCATCACTGTTCCACAAAACTGTTCAGGCAGAGCCACAAATTCTACCCTGCATTTTGCCCCAAAGAGTACATCTTTAAAAGGTAACGTCAACGGCAATGCTCCAGCAACAGCATCCTCTCTGTCAATTTGATTCCTTCCACAGGCTTTCTGGCTGCCGCTTTTTACCCCATTTCTGAATCAGACCCAGAGAGACGTGTCTAAACTCAGACACTCTCTTCATTAAAGCTCCTGATTACACTGGAGTGAACAGATTCCGGAAACGACTTCCGCTTTGGTCAAAATAAGGCCTCTTACAATCAAATTATGCCTCACTTAAAATCCTCTCCCTGGTGGCACTGGAATTGTGCATTATCGGGGAAAAGATTGATCAATTCCTGGCGGGCAGAATCAACATCTCATTATTAAAAACACAGATACAAAATGGGCAGCGGTCCATTCATATACCAGTGTATTCAAATAAAATTTATCCATGATTTTCCGATGAAATGTAACAAACAGAAAAGAAAAAAAACCATTTCACATAAGGAATTTGACGACTTGGTCCCACGCAATGGTCCAAGTTTTTTGGATTCAATGTCCCCCGCAAAAGAAAATTCTGTGCATCAGATCTATTCCAGATCTTTTCTCATGTTTTCCGCTTAATATTCCCTGGTGTTTGGTCCCACGCAATGGTCCAAGTTTTTTTTATTCAATGTCCCCCACAAAAGAAAATTCTGTGCATCAGATCTATTCCAGATCTTTTCTCATGTTTTCCGCTTAATATTCCATGGCGTTTAACCAGTAGTCTACAGATACATGTACATATGCTGGCAATGTGTGCTTAATACGCACCTACAGGATACAACAACTGCATGCCGATATGCACTGCACTTTAGCTTATATGTAATCCGGTTCGTAAGTGTGACATCACTTCAGTTTAAACCACGCCCACTGCACATGCACTGCACATAGAGTTACATGCATTGATCGCCGTTTACACGGAACCATGGAACCGGAAGTTAATGCGCAACTTCAGCGATCGTCCCATAGGAGACTGCAAATCATGCACGTCCGCCTTTGTGACAACGTCACTTATGAACTGGATAGGTCTTAGAAATTGTGAGCATAAAGACCGTGGTGATAATAATCATGCTATCACTGTTGTCAGCTCTGAGCAAAACCTCCAGAAACAAGTGTGTTACCTTGCAAGTTGTCCATTTTTCTGTTCATTTGTCTGCGTTACAGTCAAACATTTCTCATTTTATGCTATCGTAAGTCCTGTCCTAATATAGAGCTTGTACTAGTACATGAATAAATAACTGCATTATAAGTTCCAACATTTATGATAACACCACCACATCTGTACTGATGTACTGATGCTGATGTACTGATGCTGATATTGTGTGGAAATAAAATAACGTTTCAAATTGAAACGGATATTGTTCCACTTCTGTTTTACAACATCTGGAGATGTAAAAACATGACGACAAACAGACTCGCTGACTGAGGTTAGGGAAAAATTGACATCACATATTATGTCGGTGTGTGTTTGCCATGAAATCCTCATCTTCAAGTTTACATGCATCTCCAGCGTCCTCCGCACAGTCTTCACTGAGATTCATTCGCAATGTCTGCACGGTGACATTAAATGACTCATGTTAACATGTCACATTAACCGTCCAGGGAGAAGCATCTTGGCCTGTGGATTAATGATTACAATCGCGTACTGACAAGTCCCGGCAAATGTTTGGAAGGAAACGGAGCTTGTAAGTTTAGGGTTGTGTGTCACCCACCAGACGTGAGGACGGTTGGAATGCCAGGCATTTCTGAATGCTTGGGGGGGGAGGTGCAGGCATAGACAAGGGTTGAGCACACAGACGTGGGATGCGGTTTGATGATGTTGATTACAATATGGGCAGGCCGGGGACAATAAATAGACATTTAGCACGTCGGGGACGTGAAACGCGTGTCGTAAAATATTCAGAAGTGGGTGGAAGGAGAGGGGAGGAAGAAGGATAAGGCATTAATGATCAAGGTATCGGGAAGGTAAATTCTTGAGGATGCAAAAAGGGCACCATGTCCAATTTTTGACAGGTGACTTGTCTGGAAAGTATTTCCTGGAAAGTTACTCCAACCCTTTTTGAAAATTACTTTTTTCATAAATGGACAAATGGAAGTTTTCTTTTTCTTTTTAGAATTTGGAACTCAACATTTTTGTTTCCACACATAACTATGAAATTCAGTTTCTCGGATGGAATTCCACCTGATGATGCCCCAAATGTTAGGTCTCCCACATGAAGCCCAGCCTCCAAACATCCCTCTTGTAAGTGGCTGTTGAGTGGGATGCCTTGCATTCCCCTAAGAAACACTACACACAGCCAAATTTTACAAGGCCTGGGTGCACAGCATTCATCACTGCAAAGGCCCAAAATCATAAAGCAACATTTACCGGTATTTGAAAAGCAATCCCATTCACAATCCTATTACACTGTACTACTGTTCATGACAAAAATGGCATCCATCATATGTAACACACTGCAGCCTTCCATTGCATATACCAGTACATGTGCAACTGCACATTCCATGAAGGTTGAATTAATAGCCTTAAAGCCCGAGGTTACTGAATTTGATGAATCTACATGTGTTTATAGACGGGTGACTCATCTGAAAAGGACTTTGGAATCATGCTGAAGCTATCTGCATTCAGCTCGAGTCGTGGGTTCCTGAACTAAAGTTGCCATGGAAATGGCTCCAATTGTGGAAATAATGAGTTTCAGAAACAGAGAAAGCCCTGAACTTTAAAATTGATGAACTCGGAACAGTCAAAGGCTGAAACAAAATGTTGAGAATGTTGAATCAGGCGGTCATAAATCTCCGCACAGGCATAAACCAAGCCTATGCCCAAACTGTATGATATGATGCACAGCCTCCCCTCTGTGTACTGAATACATACCCCCATTAGGGTTGTTTGTCACAAGGGTCCACAAACTTCCAAAAGGAATGATCTTATTGGTTAAGAATTTTGGAGGGTGAATACATTATGTTGATGGAGGTTATTGGTTGTAACAAGTTTGACTGGCTAAAAGCTTCTGGGAGATTACACCGCGGGGGAGGGGGGAGAAGGAGCTGGTTTTGAATAATTTTTTTCTGGGAGGGTGAGAGGGTTAGTTTGAGAATAATAAATAGTGAAAATTCAATGACTTTAGATGGAGGTGAACATAAATGAATGGACGGATACAGTTCATTTACATCTAAAAGGGATGATGTCCATCTGTAGTTTTATGGTCAAAACTTACAATGTAGATGCCGAGTGAAACCGTTATCAATGGCCAAAATGTATCTCGATTATTGCAGCAGGACAGCAGCTGACGCATCAATATGAAGAGAGCAACACACATGAGGTTTTATAGTGAAAAGGGAGGCTTTGGAGTTTACAGAAGAAAATAATTGTCCACGTGTACAGAACAGGTGTCCAATGTTGTTGATGTGATTTATCTGGAAGAGGGTACAGTTTATTTATTATAATAAAGTTTTATTATAAAGATGAACAAAGAAACTGACTGGAGCGGGACTTGAACCTGCGACCTCTGGATTACCATACCGGTGCTGTACCAACTGCCTGATCCCTGGCTACGTGGTGTTTCAGGTTACATGGCTTCATATGGCAAGAGTTAAAGTAGGGCTGGATAGCTCAGTTGGTAAAGCACTGGTACGATAATCCGGAGGTCGCAGGTTGAAGTCTCGCTTCAGTCAATTTCTTTGTTCATCTTTATAATTAATTTTGGATGCACAGAATTGGGAACATGTTATGCTCTTGAGGATGGAATTAGATTTGTCCATCCCTCATTTGAGAACGAACAGATAACATGCACAGTGCATTGAGGCAACTGAGACAATTTTTTTTCTATTGCCTACTGCATTTATCTGCAGACCTTATCTCCGATATGCCGAGCTCACTGCTTCTCAACCGAACTGACATTTGACAGGAGAATAATTCAGGGAATGATGTACAAATTTCTGGCACAGTACAGCACACTGCCCCCTGCTTGGGAAAAGAAAAATCGATAAATCACAGCAGAAAGGACCAGTAAAATGGCCTCAGCTCTACCACCCAGAGAACCTATGATTAGAAGAAACGCACCGCAAAAACAAATGTGTCATCCATATCCACCTGGGGGCTGAAAGGTCTGGTTTCACGTGAAATGTCAAATGTCGGTCCCACTTATGGAAAGGCACAGAGCCTGTCTGGACCATGAGGGAGGGTTGCCGTGGCAACCGGCAATCCAGATGAAACATTGCACCCGGTGGGGATGGTGGGGGGGGGAGGGAAGGAAGGAAGGAGCTTAAAGAGAGATGCTGTCCACACCGTTCAGCCGTTCTAAATTGAGATGTACACCGTGCGGGGCATGCGTACACCCGCAGGTAAAGCTCTGTCTGCAGCCTACATGCCCCCGCATTCCCGTATTGCTTCCCAAAACCCTCCCGACTTCCGCCTCCCCGGGTAGCCAACTATCTGTTGTTGTGGCAAAGACAGACAGGGGGATGTGGGAAGTAACCACCACGGCATGGACCATTGTAAAAGAGGCCCATCATGGTCATTGCATCATCCAATCTTGCCAAACCCCTGGGATGAAACAGAACACAGGCCATTAAGAAATAAATGTACAGGTACCGCACATGTAGGCCCGGTATGGTGTGTCCCCTCGCCCCAAAACAAAATCAATTGATTACACTACTGACATTGGTCCTGCACAGCAAGATGCCGTCATTTTTTTTTTTCTTCTGTCAAACATGAATCATCCATGTGCAAGTAATCTTGCAAAGGGCACAAATGAGCATCTTGCATTGATCTTTCCAGAATTGATTGGGTATCTGGAACATGCGTACATCCTACAGTCTGAATTTGGTATATTCCCGGCAAGAGAGCTAGGCACGTTGTCATGTACAGTACTGGTACATGTATGTTTTCAATCCTCAGCGACGACTACTATTTCACATATGAAACCTGTAGTTTCTACGGCCACTTCTCAAAATGAGTGGGTGTAAGGATTTTAGTCTCTACTATTATGGGACTGGGTACCCACGAACTTTCAAGAGATCCAGGTGGAGCCAAGACAATATACACCCACTGTCCAGGAATAACATTTTGACAAATGAAAAATGAAATGAAAAATGTAACATAGAATGTGGGCTTTTTTGACATGAGGGGTCCATGACACCAGAGAGAGTAAAAAAGGCACATATTGTACATCAAAGCAGTCTGAAAATTTTGGCTACATCAGAATGCTATCAAGTCTACAAGTTACAACTTCTGACTTCCTTTTTTGTACTCTGTAAGAAATCAACTTACACAGCAATGCACAGCACAGCATGTACGGGTATTTCCTTAGCTCACCTTCAGCTTTCCCACAGGACAAGAGAAATCCAGCAAAAACACTTGTACTCATTCACACACCACTGAAATGCTGCATAAACACGTACCTCTGTGATGTACATGTATTAATTTTGAAAAGACACTAATGTGACGCTAATGATGTTCACAGAGGCATTTTGAGTGAGTCCTTGTTCATTCCTTCTTTTCTTCTGGCAAATGTGACGTGCAATCATTCCAGACAGAAGAAATTATGTACATGTCTCACCGACAAGGACAAAGCCTAGGCTGAAGTTTGCCACAGCTCTGCAGGAAAGCTCTTCAACATCAATATCTCGGTGCACAGTAATGCAAATAAGTGCACAAAGATGGCAGAAGCCAGGTTAGGGCTGTGCTGACTGATCGAACATTCAATCAATTATTCACTGTTCCAATGATTACTTTCAAAATTGAACAATGGAAATTGTAAATAACGAAATAAAAGGGGGGCACATTCAATCGTTTGCTCACAGAATTTCCTTCAAAAAGTGTAGTTTCACGGTCAGGTATACAAGTGCACTTCAAGGCGGCCTATGTTTCGTGCCCAACAGTAAGGCAAAAAAATCACTCTCCCCTCGGCTTTTTTTGTGGTAAATGGCCTCCTAAAACTAAGGAAATCCATGAAAATCACGAACTGTTAGAACCAAACATCAATTGGACTCCCAGCTTCCTCTTCTAAACTAAGAGATGGACACCTGAAACTGAACAAGATCTGTTTATAGACCACCACACAAACCTATATATTTAGTTCACACTTTTTGTAGAAATTGGGTATCTATACTGAATACGTCAACAAATGGATGGTCCAATATTCAAATGTTCTGTTATTCCAACTGACTCAGCCTTGAGCTGGGTGTACCTGCAAGTGAGGCTGTGAAATGCCAGTGGATGTATCACGGTGTCAAAAGAGTGAAGGGAGGGGAGATAAAGGGTTAATGCGCCGACTGGGGTAAGCCGACTGGGGTAAGACGACTGGGGTAAGACGACTGGGGTAAGACGACTGGGGTAAGCCGACTGGGGTAAGACGACTGGGGTAAGACGACTGGGGTAAGCCGACTGGGGTAAGCCGACTGGGGCCTATTTCAAGGGTCTGCTGAGCAAGGAAAACTGATAAGCACAGAAAAAAAACAACCAGCTTCATATACAGTCCATCATGACTGGTTCACAGTTGGCTTTTGCTAAGCTCATCACTTTGTTAAGCAATAGCTCCGCCGTGGACCTGGTCTCCCTTCAGCATGTTGGGTGATGTTAGTGAATAAATTGGTGATAGTGATATCGTACATTTCCCAGAAACCTCTTCGTGCTTGAGGTCAGGCGGTGTGCAAAGAAAATGGCACTGTGGTGTTTACAACTACACAAATTAACATTGACAGGATAATGGCAAAATCCTAATTCAAGCCACAAAAATGCCAATTATGGACCTGCCCCGCTTTAAAGGATGGATGGTTTGGGGAAAATGAGGGGTAAGAGAATATATATGTACCCCAGCATGACAGGTTCTAAGCTCAGATGAGCTCAGCTGTTAAAAAAATTTAAATTATTTTAAAAATTATTTATTTATTACCATACTCTTGCGACCATCTTTAGTGGTCGAATTGTGGTTTGATTTACATACTAAAAACATTAAAGATTTAAAGTCAGGGGCCTTAATGAATAAATGAAGATTAAAAAGAAAATTTAAAAACATTGAAAAAGAGCAAAACACTAAACATTAAAACAGAGGATACACTTTAACATAAAAAAATTAACAATGACTCAAGTTAAACCTTGAGTTATTTCTTTTTACAAGTCTTCCATATTCCACAATAACAAACAATACTTCCAGAAAGACGATTTTCTCGATTTGCTCGAAAGAGCAATTTTTTTCTCCTATGAAATAAGATGCACACAATGAAAAACACTTGAGTTGGCACTCCCCCACTTCTACAAGCACACATCTTTTCATTTTCAGAAGCAACTATTGAGTAATTTGGTGAGGTAGGGAATTGAGCTTTTTCTATACCTATCGACTCAATAAAACATCGTTTTTTCCAAAGTTCCATAACATGTTCATGGTTATTTTGGGGAGACCAACTCTGAAAACGTTGGGAAGCAACACATGATTTCGCAAATTGTGAAAACATACGTTGAAAAAACTGTTACAAGATCTTTCCTGGGCACACCAAACTTTTTTAAGCGGCTGAGAATGTGCAGACGCCTGCCATCTTTGGAAATCATTTGGTGAACCTGTGTGTTACACTTTAAATTATTTTGAATCCATACTCCAAGTAACTTGGTAAACTAGTGTTTTCCACTTGGAAATTCCCATGAAATGGAGGTGCAGCTGTATAGAAAAAAAATGACGATCAATTAAAAAAAAAAAGGTGGGTTAAAATATAGGAGTTACTCACCAGGTTCTTGTTAGTGGTGTTGGTGTCTTCATGGGGGAACGGTGTGTAGATGGCAAGTGCAAAACAGTTGGCAAATATAGTCAGCAGAATAAGGTACTCAAACGGCGTGGCGAAGGACAAAAATGAAACTGGTTAAGGAAACAAACTGAAGCACTGCAAAGGGATTACATGTAAACCCCACATGTACATTAAGACTTCTTTTAAATGGTCGGGGGTGATGTAGAAAAGAGCCTTTCCATTTTTTGGTAACCAACTCCCCGGTCCCCATCAGCGGATGTACAGTATGCTTGCAAAATATTCTGGAACGTTTCTCCATTTCGGCATCACCCCCTCCCCACCATTACCACCACCATCACCGTCGGCTTCAAGAGAATCAATCTGTCTGAACAGCTGAACTCTATAGCTTCAGAAAGTTCAGATTTGTTCACAAAACAAAATGTACTGTAGCACTAACATAAGGAATTGAGACGTAACAAAAACTGTCAAGATTTCAGAGAAACAATTACAGGTTAGGTTTAAAAACCAGCCTCAGTTAAACTTGTCTAGTTTTCTTCTCCTGATGAAGGACAAATTTCAGTAATCAACAGCTGTCAAATGTGGCTGGAATTTTACTGGCGTGTTAATATAGAGTATTTCAATCTAAAACACCCCCTTTTCTTTTTAAAAAATTCTCTCCTGAAAATTTGCTCTTTAGAAAGTTGTTTGCTTCCAGTTTTTGTTGCTCATCAAAAAGCTATCACTGCTTCTCTTGAAAAGGTTGTTAATCTCCAAGTAAGTTTTCTGTCATTTGCTTTATAAAGTGAGGCTGAAATCCAGCCACTCAAAAACAAAACGGCATCGCTGCTCACGACCAACAACCGTCAAAACACAGGGGAAGCTGGCATTTCCAGAGCCTCAGACGATCAAATTGTTGCTTGACCAACACAGGTCAACAATCCCCGTTATTAAATCATCCTTTCTTTTTTTGGTTTGTTTCCGCCAGTCCCTCTGCAATCATTTCCGACAGGTGACTATATAGCCCATGCTCCTGTTTGTGACACGCTTTGAGCGCAAAGAGCACGAAATGACGCAGTCCCTAGCGAGGGTTGCCTTAAAACAAAACAAAAAAAGCTGGGAAATATAAGGATTGACGTCACAGGAACCGGGGACAAACACACTGGGACGACCCATTATGGTGTGTGGACAAAGCAATGATACCATCTCAATCTTTGTGACATTGAGTCCCCGTGAAACAGCCTAACTACAATTGGAGATGAAGTGCTTTTTTGACCTTTTTTACCATCAAAACAAAAATGTTTTCATTTTTTTTTCTCTAAGAGGTGATTTCTTTGATGCTGCGGCTTGGCCGACTCTATCAACGGGGCAACTGCACTTGCAGCAGGCAATGACGGTTCAACCTCTTCACAACAAAACGGTTTAAAAAACATCATCATTTGCCCCAAAGAAACTGAACAGCACAAGTAAATAGCCCAAAAGGAAATTCTTGTTATTTCCTCGAGGCAGTAGCAAACATGTACATGTATATCAACAAATTTCTCCTGGGAAACCGTGGAGCATAAAATATTCCCTGGAATTCATATGGCTATAGGAAAAACTCACAGGAGGGGTGATAGGGGGCTGGACATCTACAGGCGTAGTGCTGGGGTGCCATTCATGTTCATTTCTGGCAGAATGACAGAAAAACATGACATTTTACAAAGTACTTTTGGCTTTGCACCTCTTTTCTTTTTTCACAATTTTTTTTCCACCCGGGGAAGGGGCTTCGTGGGGAAGTTGGAGGCCCCCCAAACCACCATATCACTACGTCACTACCACTATTTGGATATACATGTAGACACATGTACAACCAATGCTGGTTTCAAGTGACTTAAATTCGGCATCAAAATTTACATCTGCAGCATTCGCCTCACTCTGCACGATTAACAACAAGCAGCTACTCTGAATGCGCAAACGGACGGATCTACTGCACACTGCAAATTGGCAACTGCTATTAGATCTGTAGGAGATGATTTCCACAATGACTGCTGCGTACTACAATGAACTGTGAATATGTTCATGTACCCACTTGCATGTACATGTAACCACTTGCATATGTACGTGTAGGTGTTGTGGCATTATTTGGATTATCAAAGTCGCACCGACTGAATTTCATTATTGCGTGCGAGCAATTTCAAGACTAGTAATGCAACAATAATGGGCCTATTACGGCAAAACGTGATGCACTGGATTGTTACTACGGTAACCTTATATTGTGGCTAGCACAGGCGTCTGTGACTTTGTAAATAGCAATTGTTAGGCTGTCCCCAATTTATTCTGCTTGGAGCAGAAAAAGCAACATGGTTTTTCCCGAGGCAGATTGTTATCCTGATATTTTCAAGTTGTCTATGCCCCAGTGCACCACAATAAAATTGACAACAATGATGTCAAAATATTTCATACATGTTTGGTTCTAACCTAAAACAACAGAAGAGGGGGAAACAAAAATCAAACGTAAGAGGCTGAATTCTACATGGGAAACATCCCTAAAATGCCTTTTGAAAATCTGACAAGACTGATTTCACAAGGGCATCATCACAAAATTCCCAGTGGTAACAACGCAATCGTGGTTGCGTAAGAGCCAACAGTGTCAAGATTCCAGACCGAATCATCATTTATTTATTGAACACCCGTACACCTTTGCACGTCTGGTATTGAAGTGGGAACGCATTGATTTTTCAACGATAAATTGTTAAATGAAGGACTGTGATGCAAGAAGTCAATATGAGGACTTTGACATCCTCTTGTGCACATAATCTGTGATGCTGATTACGAGGGCTTCCATGTAATATCTACAAGCATACAGTTCACAGCTTTGGGATCAGGGGACCAGACACAAATTGTAAGGCACTGTGAGGCAAAAAAACAGGGCCCAATTTCACAGCGCTGCTTACCGCAAGTGAAAAATCGGCACTTCCTGTAGCAGGAAATTTTGTGCTTGCGGCGAAAATATGTCATGAGTTAGCGAAGAATTTTGACTTACGCACATGCGTACATGCCGTAACTAAGGATTCTATGCTTAAGGGGTTAGCGCAGAATTTTTCTGCTTGCGCGGTTAGCGCAGAATGGAGATCGTACCTGCAGAACTCTGCTGTAAGCAGCGCCAAGAAATTGGGCCAAGCAGGCTGCAAAGACAACAAAGGCTGGAAGCAAAAAGTGTTTGACAAAAAAAACAACAGGCTGGGGGAAGCTGAGTTTCTAGTTCTGTATTTAGTGGACATGAATCGACTGGGTGACAGTCAGATGCACCGTACATGATTAGCTGGCAACCTTCAGGGCTGTGATGAATATTCAAATAATTGGATGTTCCCGTTATTATTGAATTTTCATATTTTTGGAATTGAATAATGGGTAGTTAAAATCAATCAAATGAGAAAATTAAATTATTTTGTTCTATACACGACTGCCTTTTTAAAGCTTTGTAAGATTTGAAGCAGCTGATGCATATGCCATTGGTATATGCAAATATGAGAGATTTCAGTTCAACTAATATTGCCTCAACTGGATGGTTGAACATGTGAATATTCAATGACAGTAAGTCTGCATACATCCGGCCTGGATATCAATCCTTAACTCTCCCTCCCTTCTTCTTAAAGAGCCAAAAGTTTTCTCGATGAGCTCTTTCAATTTAAAGTGAACTTATACCTGTGTTTATGCTGCAAGTATATAATGTGGGAATCGTGTCTCTCTTTGACATCAACGTCATTCCAAATTTTCCTAAAATTTGATTTTCAATCGCAGGCACGGATCGGGGGGGGGGAGTTGGGGGTCAGAAAAAACCCTGCTCCTAAAAATAAAGGTACAAAATTGGGAAAATAATTGAATTAACAAAAGTGCACTAATACCATTGTAAACAATGTATGTGATGTAATGTTTCATCATCGTTTCCGCCAGTCCCCCCCAAAAGAAAAAAAAATCTCTGGCCTGCCCACCCTCCCCCTGGAAAATTTCCTTCCTGGACCCACCCCTGAGTAGACATCAAAGTCAATGACTCACAGCAAACCCTCACTTCTTAAAGCTAACTTTCAGCTTTCCTATGAGGTTCGGCACGTATGAAAGGTGAGTGACATCAAGGCCCACAACGGGCAGTCACCCTTGGTCGGCGAGTCATCGTTAGCACTGATATACGAACGAATGGTCATCATGAATGCCACTTTTCCTAATTGGCTAATCACAATAAGACTTACGTTCACGTCCATGTAGCAGAAATCATCACAATTTTAAAAGACAATTTGTCACTTTTCATTCTTATGTACGTCTTTTGAGGAGTGTTCACCAAGACATAATATCATCAACGCTAACCCCTTTAAATTTACGCACATATCTTTTTAATCCAAACTCACCTCGAGACAAACCTGCCTGAATCCAACATGAAAAAAAAAACTTACCACCAACAAAAACCAACCGACGTCTCCCTCCCCCCCGTTGGATGCTACTGAGTTAACAACCATAAGAGGACATGCAATTTGGCAAAACAGTTTCACAGGGACTGACGAGGGGTTATGATTTAAATCATGAAGCTTGCTATGGGTCTCAAGGATGCATAGCCACAAATGTTCCAAATGTGTGGGGACAATGCACGTGTTGCTTAGCACATGATTTCACGCTTACAGAGCTAACGGATTTCATGGAGACCATAAGCAGTAAGCACAGCTAAAAGCAAGTTAACCTTGGAAGAAAAATGTACCTCAACTTAGTAACGTAACAACAGAAACCTCTGTGCGTGCACAATCATTGGCACAACCATGTCAAGCACTGCCACATCTAGTGCTTCAGACTGGCAAATTTTTCTGCAAAAGTTAGCATGATTTTTCTGTTATTAACTGCTAAGCAGCATGTGAAATTGGGCCCTGGACACAATGTCGGCCATGTTTGTGGAGGCAGACTGCGAGATGTGCACAACGTGGCCGGCTGTACATGAATGGTCATCGCAGCATGCAGTATTCTAAGACAGGGCCTAAAAAGAGTTGCCACACTATATAAGGGTGAAAAATAATGTACAGAATGGTCTATTTTTAACTGACTTCATAGGGTCACACATTTGTGGCACTTGGATTGATTTGAAAAGTA